TAATCCTTGCATTTGATATAGTGCTTTTCACGTCAGGAGGACGTCCCGAAGCACTTCACAGAACACACTGTAAAGTGAATTGACTGTATATTTGTGGGCGAACGCGGCAGCCAATTGCGCACAGCAATGTCCCACAAACAGTCGTAGATTGAAAATGACCAATTTAATTATTGTTTTTGTTTTTTGGAGGGATTATTATTAGGCGTGTGGAGTAAGGAAACTTGCCCAAGGTTTCGCCCTGACCTGCCTGGAATTGAACTCAGGTCTCTCACTTCCAAAGCGAGTGCTCTAACCACTGAGCTACAGGACTCCACATACACAAATCACTAAAGTAGCAACGCAGGTTAATAAGGCCATAAAAAAGCAAACCAGGCATTGGGGTTCATTTCTAGAGGATAGAAATGAAAAGCAGGGAAATTATGGTAAACTTATATCGAACCTTGGGTGGACCACACTTGGAGTACTGTGTACAATTCTGGTCCACATATTATAGAAAGAATATAGAGGCACTGGAGAAGGTGAAAAGGGGATTCACAGGATGATCTTGGAACTGAGGGTGAGGGGTGACCTGATAGAGGTCTTTAAAATTATGAAAGATTTTGATAGGGTAGACATAGAGAAGATGTTTGCACTTGTGGGGGAGACCAAAACCAGGAACCATAAATATAAAATAGTCACCAATAAATCAAATAGGGATGTCAGAAGAAACTTCTTCACCCAGAGAGTGGTGGGAACGTGGAACTTGCTACCACAAGGAGTAGTTGAAGCGAAAAGCATAGATGTATTTAAGGGGAAGTTAGATTAGTACATGAAGGAGAAAGGAATAGAAGGTTATGCTGATGAGACTTAGTTAAGGAAGGGCAGGAGGAGGCTCATTTGGAGCATAAACGCCGACATAGACCAGCTGCGCCAAATAGCCTGTTTCTGTGCTGTATAGTCTATGTAATTCTATGTAACCAAAACTCAAGGAAAAGGCAGGAAAACTTGTTTTTTAATTTTTAATCCATTTAATTGTTAATTTAATTTGAATCAATGGTGTTCCATTGTCTTTTCACCATGTCCTCTCTCACTTCCTCTGTCTGTTTCTTCTCTCATTGACTATTCTTTCCTTCGGGCATTATCATTGTCATTGTCTCCCTCATCTCCCTCTCTCATCTCTTCCTTCTTTACTTATCGCTCAATTCTCTCCTTCTCTCTAACTTTGTCTCCACCTCTCCCCCATACTCATTCTTCTCTCTCCTATCTCTATTGTTGCCTCCTCCTTCCCTCTCCCATTCCTTCTCTATCATTCTGTTGTCTCTACCTTTCATCTCTTATTCCTCTTTTTTTTTCCCTTTTCTCTCTGTTTTCTTTGTCTTGCTGACTCTTTCTTGTTGACATTCCTTAATAATAAATCTACAGAACCATATAAATTTACAGCACAGAAAAAGACCATTTTGTCCATCTGTGCCAACTCCTTTAAAAGCAATCCTTTTACCTGGCCTTTCCCCCATAACAAACCATCTCCTCCGTCCACCTTTTCATGCCTCGCCCATCGTCTCCTCAAACTCCAACTGTGAGGAGATGCTGGACTTCCTCAAATCCAAAATCGAGGGGATACATTCAGCCACCTCTGCCCCGTCCACAACCACCCTCATATCATCTCTCCCTCATGACCCACCCCACCACCCATCACCCCCATACTCCTTCGACCCTATCTCTCCCTCCCTCACCGCGACTGTTCGCAAACTCAAACCCACCACCTGCTCCCTCAATCCCATCCCCACCTCTCTCCTCATATCCCAGCTCCACATTCTGGCCTTCTCCTGTCCAACGTCATCAACCTTTCCGTGTCCACCGGTTCAGTTCCCACCCCCCTAAAAACAGCCGTCATCACCCCCATCTAGAAAAAACTTTCCCTGGACCCATCCCTCCTCCTCCCACAGCATGGAAACAGCCCTGGTCAAAGTCACTAATGACATTCTGAACATCTGTGATCAGGGCTCCCTCTGCCTCCTTGTCCTCCTCGACCTCTCTGCCGCCTTTAACACTGTCGACCACTCTATCCTCATACACCGCCTCTCCTCTTTACTTTATCTTCGCGGACCTGCCCTTGCTTGATTCGATTCCTATCTCTCTCACCGTCTCCACTTTTTTGCCTCTAACGGTTTCTCCTCAAGCCTCCGCACTGTCACGTCTGGCGTCCCCCAGGGCTCTTTCCTTGGCCCTCTCCTCTTTAATATCTATATGCTCCCCCTTGGTGACGTCATCCGCAGACATGGGGTCAACTTCCACATGTATGCGGATGACATCCAACTCTATCTTTCTGCCTCCACCCTCAACTCCAGAACCACTGCTGTCCTGACAGACTGCCTGTCGGACATCAAGTCCTGGATGAGGGCAAATTTCCTACAGTTGAATGTGAACAAGACTGAGGCCCTCCTGATTGGCTCGCGCCAGCGTCTCTGCACCTCAGGCTCTGGCAACATCAACCTCCATGGTTGCACACTACATCTCACCAAGCCAGTCAGGAACCTAGGTGTCTTGTTCGACCCTCAACTGTCTTTTCTCCCCCACATTCAAGCCATGACCCGCTCTGCCTTCCCTCACCTCCGGAACATCGCCCGACTCCACCACTACCTCACACCTCAGGCCGCTGAAACTCTTGTTCACACTTTCATCACCCCCAGGCTTGACTATGCAAACGCTCTGCTTGTTGGCCTTCCCAACTCCTCCCTCCACAGGCTGCAGATAATCCAGAACTCTGCAGCCCATGTCCTCTCCTGCACCAAACTCTGTGACCCCATCTCACCCACTCTCGTCCAACCCCATTGGCTCCCTATCCTTCCGAGGATCCAGTTCAAGATCCTGGTCCTCACCTATAAAGCCCTCCATGGCCTCGCCCCACCCTACCTCAGCAACCTCCTAACCACCTACCAATCCGCCCGCTCCCTCCACTCAGCCGGCTCCTGCCTGCTCCACGTCCCCCGACCCACCCGCCCCACCATTGACAGGAGAGCCTTCAGCCACTCTGCCTCCAACCTCTAGAATTCATTCTGTCAATCACTCCGCCTCGCCCCCTCCTTAGCCTCCTTCAAGTCCCGCCTCAAGACCCTCCTCTTCGACCATGCCATCAGCCCCCCACTTCCTCTCCCCTCCCTTCTTCCCTCCCGATCCCAGCTCGGGTCTGAAATGCTGTACACTGTCCAGCGCCTTGGGACGTCCTCCCAACGTGAAAGACGCCATACAAATGTAATCTTGTTGTTGTTGTTGTACCCTGTGTCTGACTCCTTTTAAAATATTTAGTTAGTTCCCTTTTGAAAGGCAATATAATTCTGCTTCAGCCACTGGTCCCATCAGAGCATTGCATAACCTAACTACCCTGTGAAAACATTTCTAATTTCATATTTGCTCGTTTACTCATGGTCTTAAATTAATTCCCACTGACTCACTGACTCACTGACCAGTAGAAATAATTTCTCCCTCTTGACTCTTCTGAAACCCCTCATAATTTTAAAGACCATTTCATTCCAAGGAAATGGGGATTCATTACTGTAACAGACATATATCAGGTTGATTGTTTTTTTTTGGTCAGATGGGTGTCTGACACAAGCGGATTAAAATACTGACTAAAACAAAGGGTTAGCTTGACATATGCCTGAAATTCTGCAACTTTAAACCCTTGAATATACAAAGATGGATATAAATTGATCAATACAATTACAATACAATTTACATTTAGACTGTTGACATTTATATACACTGTCCACATCAGGAAGACTCTCAAAAGCACCTAATTGTGTTGGACTGGCACCTGAGCTGGGGTGGGCATCAAACTACACCACTGTTAAACGCTTTGTGATGCAAGAATGTAAGTTGTTATTGTTGATAGTTACAAAAATTAGAACTTGCTGTTTGTAGGACATTGCTGTGTGTAAATTGGCTATCGTGTTCACCTACAAAATGCAGTCACTGCACTTTACAGTATAATCCTGTGCAGTGCTTCAGATGTTTCAACAATGTGATAAGGCACTATATCAAATGGAAGGATTATTATATCACATGCAAAGATTATTATAAATACATGAATATGCCCCAGAAAATAAATACCCATCAGTAAAGTCCAGATAAGCTCCTCACAACAAGTTCCCTAGACATTTGGTATACACTATTCAGCTTTTGAATCAACTTCAGTTTATTAGGTTACACCACTTCTGTTTCAGCTTCCCTCACTTTATGCAATCTGTCTTCTTCCTCCAAAGAAAAGTGTTCGGATATTTATAAAATTCATTGATGTGTAACTGATAACTGTCAAAGGAAAAGATCTATGAAATTCAAAAAGCTCCTGCAGGGATTAATTCAAAGGTTGTGCTTCTGTGCATTTCAAATAGAAAAAAAATAGCAGTCACTGAGAAGCTGTGCAACAGCAGACTTTACAATGGAAGTCACTAAAGGGGAAATTATCACTTCAGTGAGAAGTTATTGATGAGGCTTAGATCCCACAAGAACCTATTTCAATGGTTGTGCTTTTAGATCTCCTGCTGTTGTGAGATAATAATAATAATCCTTGTATTTGAACTCACACCTTATCAGGTTTTGTGGAGTCCTGCTTTGAGACATTCTCCCTATGTGAGAGGTGTTATATGTGCATAACTTGGATAAAAAGCGCTATTGTCGCCTTGAGACGTCTCAACAATGTGATAAAATGCTACATCAAATACAAGGATTATAGATTATTGTTATTGACAACCATTCCCCATATGGTTGAACACCCTGCCAATGTTCTCTGGCTGAAATAACACACCAACAATGACCACATAGGCCTGTGCTTGCAAAAGCAGCATGAGTAGCACCTTGGGATGTCCTCCTGAAGAGAAGGGCGCTATACAAATGTGATTTGTTGTTGTTGTTGTTGAATACTTGCCTTTAGGAATGGAAAAAAATTGGAAAGGAAATCTTAAAACAAAATGGGTAACATTTGGACACATTACGTGGACCTTATTTCTCTTTTGTCATTGCAGTTCTACCGAGCTTTGCAGATACAAGTTGTCAGTCTGTTGCTGATTGCCAGGAGACGATTGAAGCCATGGAGGTGCGCACTGATGGCAACTCCTTACTGAAAGCTGTGTACCTGAGCAGGTTGCGCCTCACCAGGCTGCTGCTGGAAGGTGGCGCTTACATAAATGAGAGCAACGAGCGAGGAGAGACACCCCTCATGATCGCTTGCAGGACCAAGCACACGGACCATCAAAGTGTCAGCAAAGTGAAGATGGTGAAATATCTTCTGGAGAATCACGCAGACCCTAACATCCAAGACAAATCAGGAAGAACCGCCCTGATGCACGCATGCACAGAGCAGGCTGGAGCAGAGGTTGTGTCTTTGTTGTTAAAAAGCAACGCTGATCCCAGCCTCGAGGATCATTCAGGCTGCTCCGCTTTGGTCTGTGCTGTGAACTCAGGTGACAAAGAAACCCTTAGGATTCTGCTGGATGCCTGCAAGGCAAGAGGAAAAGAGGTCATTATCATCACAACAGCCAAATCGCCCTCTGGTAGGCAAACCACTAAGCAATACCTGAACGTTCCACCTCCTCCACATATTGATGATCGACACTCACCCATTCCCTGCACCTCACCTTCAGACATCGAGCTTAAGACATCACCGCCTCACCTCAACAGCAATGTGGCCGAAGAGAAGCGCGTATTTAGCTTCAGGGAACCGGTTCATCTCTTTAACAACCAAGGTTCCTCTGAACCGGCCTCTCCGACCAGAAAGTGCAACCAGACACATTCTGGGGCCAAATTCCCACAACTTCAAAGGCTGCACTCTGAGCCCTGGCTGAACATCCCTCCTTCCCTGGTACCTCAGAACAAAATATCCTCATTCCAGGAAGAAACACAGAACCTCACCCCAGAGGAAAGCCTATCCCTTAAAATCAATGGATTAATTCTACCCAAGCGACTCTTCACTAGACATCAAAGTATTGATGTAAAGGACACTGCGGGTTTATTGAGAGCTTTGGATCAAGCATCGGCTTTGGCGGGCCCAAGGAAATTGTCCTACGATGAAATGCACTCACAGTCTGCTCAGCCTGGATCGCAACGCAATAGCACGCTTCCTGTGGACCAGGACCCCGATCACCTACAACTCATCAACGCCTCAAGCTTGCGCAACATTGTCCACAGGAGGAACTTGGGTATTAATCACTACAGCTCCGACTCGCAGCTTACCACGTGCTCCATGTCCACGTCGCTCGACGAAACCAAAACCTTTCTAGAGAAGAAAAAGATGATCACTTCTCCGTTAGCTGCTTCAACTGGGTCTAGGGATTCGCTGGACAATCTCACAACCATCAGGAAACAACCTGGTATCCTAGAGAGACGAGGCTCAGGGACTCTCCTCTCAGATCGTATTTCACAAACCAGACCGGGATACCTCCCACCTTTAAACATCAATCCCCACCCCCCAATTCCTGATATCAGAGCCATCAGCAAAGACCCCGGGCCCTTTCCCGGCGGTGGGAAACCTTTACTGCCAGCAGCACCAAATAGCCAAAAGCGAACAGATGTTAAGAGCAAGAAAATGCTCCTACGGAGGCACTCGGTGCAGGCAGAACAAATGAAACAGCTGGCAAATTTTGAGGAAATATTTGGTCAGTGAAAGACTGTTTATCAGAATGGTTTATAAAAATAACTAGCGATTACAACGGCCTCTGATCAAAAGGACAATGATGTGATTTTGTCCAGTGCTATAACACCGAGTTAATGTTGCTCATGATATCCAATGTAACTCATGGAACTGGTATACTCCAAGCCTGTTGATGTTGTAAGGATGAAATGACACGACCTATTCACAGATTAGAATGTTTCAGGATCACATCTTAGAATCATCCTAACTATGTTCGACTACTTCATAAATTTTAGTTTCTGTCAGTATTGGCTAGAAGAGGAATCTTATAATCAAGACGCGGGGATAAAATATGCTATAATTTGATAAGGTTGGATACAATATTTATCACATCCAATAATAAGTACCCTTGCAATTGATATAGTACTTTATCGTGTCTTTGAGACATTTAAAAGCACTTCACAGAATACTGTAAAGTGAATTCACTATGTATTTTGTAGGCGAAACGTGGCAGCCAATTTGTTTTCAATAAAATGATTCAAAAGGGAACTGGGCACACGACTAACAAAGAAAGACTTTGACATACATGGGAAAAGGGCTGGAAAGTAGTACCACTGAAAAGGGAAGGGCAACTTAAAAAAAACAAGGTAGCAGTGGGACAAGCATGATGGGCTGAATCCAATTTCTTTTGTGCTAGAAATGTTTGTGTTTCTACAAGATGGCCATGATATATTCTTATAAAGGGGACAATGGTTCTGATCCTTTACATATTGTACAGTGGTAAACACTGATCTACATCTGCAATTACAGAAAGGAATCTGAGTTTGTCAAACTCGTGTTGCTTGACAAAACACTGTATTCAGTGGATGAGAAGAAGAGATTTCAAATCAATTCATATTTTGTTTCAGTGGTATAGCACCAAAACGGGCCATTTAGTCCAACTAGTCGATGCTGGTGTTTATACTCCACATCACTCCCCAACCCTCTAATTCCCCTCTCCTATACCCCTCTATTCTCTTCTCCCTTGTGTATCATGTTTTCACTTAAATACATCAATGATTTTTTTCAGATCTGTATTTGGTTTGGTGGGTTGGATTAAATCATTGATCCTAATTGAAAGTAGCAGTACAAACTCTCATTTCACCTGCCTTTTAGTGAACCTCCTGTGCAGATCTGATGGTTGGGTGCATAACACGTAGAGGTGCCAGTTTAATCATACTGCGATTAACTTTCACAAAAGATTTGGTTCCCGGTCTATGGTGAGTTAGCTGATCTCTGGCTCTAGGAGATATAAAATTGCCTTGGGCTCCGTGGTTTAATGTGGAAAATCTGCCAGGAAACTTGCTTCTGATGGTTGTCTAGTGATTCTGCTAGAGATGCATGTTTATGGACATTAGGTGATGCCGACATTGGGGCTTGGCTGTGATTTCTCACCCCACCCCCCCCACACACACACAAATTGGATGGAATAGCTGTCCAGCACTCACTGAAACTCACAGATGAATAATGGCCACTTGGGCAAAATACCAGAGGGCATCCAAGATTAGCTTTGAATCAAAATTCAGTGAAGTTAAGAAATGAGCTAAATGCCTTGACAGAAGAGGGGAGAATGGAAAATTGACAAGGAAATACATAAATAAGGATAGGAACGTGTTACAGTGAGAGGAGGGTTTCGGGGGGAAAAAATATTTAAAAAGGGATATTTGAGGGCTACAAAGATCTTCAGGGAATAATGTAATGGCAATAGCTTTTTCACTAGAGATGAGAACGTTCAGAAGTGACCTGATAAAGGTCATGAAGATTATGAAGGGTTATTACAGGGCAAATGGTAATAGATTATTTCCACTCGTTGATGAATCAGTCCCAAGGGAGCATAAATTTAGGAATATCACAAAAAGAATTAAAGGGGAGGAAACATTTCTTTACAGAGGATGGAAGTCTCTGCCACAAACTTTTAAAGCAGAATCTGTGAATACTTTTATAAAAGAAATGAGATAGATGCTTGAAAAAAGTGAAATATTAAACGGAATGTGGAGTGAACAGAAGACTGAAATTAGACTAGATAATCTCTGGAGATGAATACCAGCACAGACTTAATGATAATAAAATAATAATCCTTACATCAGGAAGATACCTCAAAATGCTGTACGATATACTGTAAAGTGCAGTGACCGTGTTTTGTGGGTGAATGCAGCAGCCAATTTGCACACAGAAATGTCCCATAAACAGCCATAAAATGAATGACCAATTTTATTTGGGGATTGTTGGGCTGAATGGCCTCTTTCTACATTGTAGCAATGTCAGACTTTATGGGGAAAAAAACAATAGCTAAAGATATTTTAGAGAGGCAGTAAGAGAAAGAAAGAAATTATTCAAAACATTGAGAAAATTCAGATATTACACAAGAAAAGTCGAATAAGATGTGTAAACATGACAGATATGTCTTATTGTCTGTCATAGAACTAGATATTAAAATGAAGATGAACAGAGATCAAAAGCTTTTGGTTCTCATGCAAATGTGTTGCCTCTGAGTAAATGGAGAGCTTCTAAAATGGAAACCTGTGAGCAAGTGAAAATATGAGCGAACAAGCAAAATGCAGAGGAAAATGTTAAAAGAAAGAGGGGGTTATTCTGCTCAGATTGTTACATTTACTTATTTTGCTGTGAATTTTAAAAATAACATGGTTTTATATGTAGAATCTATAACTCTAATGCCATACTGTATTATGCATTATGTAATTTTAATCAAAATTTAATGTTTATTTATAAAGTCTGTCTTCGTATTGCACAAGTTATAATAACATAAATAACATCTGTAGAATAACAGAAAGACATGTTTAAATCCAGACGACAGGTTTATGTGTTTATAAGAGCTTCAAGATACCCCGTGTGAAGGGCACGATGCAAATGCAATTGTTGTTGTCTACATCAAGGGTTCTCAAACTTTCTGGAATCAAGGCCCTCACATGACATTAGACATCCTGACTGACGAACCTCACACAATTTCTAGTGAGTCTAGAACCGCTTGTATCTTTGAGTGTTATTTTGTAATTAAACAGTTTTAATGAAGCATAAGTAGGATGTGGAGTCCTGGAGCATATTAGTTGGAGCACTTGCCACGCAAGCAAGAGGACCTGGTTTGATTCCCGGGCAGAGCGAAACGTTTCCTTACTCCACACGCCTCTGTTTACCTAGCAGTAAGTAGGAACCCGGATGTTAGTCAATCAGCAGATCGCTTTTCCGTGGGTAATAATCCCTTCAAAAAATAAAAATAATTTAAAAATTAATAATAATTTGGTCACTCAGTCCACGGATGTTTGTGGGACACTGCTGTGTGCAATTGGCTGCCATGTTTTGACCACAAAATATACAGTCCATTCACTTTATAGTATATTCTATGATGCACTTTGCAACATCTCAAAGGCGTAATAAGGCACTATATCAAATACAGGAATTATTAGTAGTAGTTTTCTATTAACACTTGAAGTGTATTAAACTGAAGTGTTTGCTTTGAACATATTAAAAATTAGTTTCACTGTTAAGATTCTTCTACTTTTAATTGCACAATAATTCCCTCATCTTATGTGGTTCTAAATTCTCCAGTCACAATACTCCAAGGATTTAAATACTCACTTTTGCAGCACTGACTATAATATTCTACATACAAAATACAATGAAATTTTTTACAGTTTAAACATCTCAGCTATTTGTTTCAATTTCACCCTACAATAATGCTGTCTCGTAATGTAAAACTTGCATGTCTTATCTATACATCGTATAATTGCCTAAGTCATACATTCACCTGAGTTTCCTATCAAAACCACTTAAGACTATCCTCCTTGGGGGGGCAGGTAAGCAGGGTCTCCTTAGAGCTGACCTGGCTCCAAGGTGACATGGGAGGAAAGCTTGCCAGCCAGCGATATCAAAGACAAGCTATGCGGATTTAGCTGGTTAGACTCCAGCAGTTACCCCAAAGCACAGTCTGGTGTCCCCAAGCCTTGACTCTTGCTAAACCTGCGTCCAATACTCTCCTGAATTAGCTAAGCAGGATACGTCCCTCCGTAGAATTTCCATGTGTAGGTGGGATGCATGGAACTCTCAGTTTGGTTTGGATTCTCTTAACCGTGGTGATGGGTTGCTGCATGGCAGACACCCGGCTGACCCACCCAAAAAATCGAAACCATTTAGCAAAGATAACATTTATAACAGGAATGAATAACACTTTATATGAACTCATTTATTGACCAGAAAAGCCTCTTTGTAGATTAACCACGGACCACCTTGTGTATTGTTCTGAGTGAATAATGTTTAAGAAAAGAACTGATTAAATAGCATCATTGATTTTTTTTAAAAGAAACTTCTCACACTACACTCTCTTTCTCAGAAGAGTTGTCATCTTTGCTTAATGGGCTGGTGAAGTCACCCGAATACAAGATTTTTATGATATTTAAACTGACAACTTCCAATTTGCAGAAATTCGATATTGTTAAAATCAGATACCTTCTGTTAATGATGGAGCAACTGACTACAGAAGCATAATAAAATGGGTCATCATATACAATTACTGGGAGTGAATTAACAAGTGCCTGAATGAAGGATTCAATAATAAAAAAGGAAAATAAGTTTGAAGAGTAGAACATGATGAGATTTATAGACCTTCAAAGTACATGCAAATATTTACTTAAAATATATTTATTCTGTGTCAGTCATATGTGCAGTCAATATTAGATATATATGTTGATAAAGCTTTGTTCCATTGTTTGAATCCTGATATTTGTGTGGGTCAGTGTTTATAGAAAGGATGAGTTATTTAATTATAACTTCAATCTTAACTGTTAACAATACAAACTCATCCAACATGTACAGCTTCTCATTTGGGTGTTGTGCTAATGAGAGAACATATTGGTTTTCAAGTCTCTGATAGCTGCTCAGTCTGCTCTGTGTACTTGGGCATATCCTAGATACAAGTGTAACATTCAAGCTGGGAAAGGTTGTGTGGGACACACCATGGTTCTTCAATTCAGCTTGTATGTGTGTTTAACGGGTCAATTAAATAGTTGGTGGGAGGAAGCATTGCATTTCTATTCTCCGATAGAAAAAAGGGAATAAAGAAGTAGCAGACAAAATGATGTTGAAGAGATCTTGTCAGTTGTGACAATTAAAAAGACAAAATGTTCTTCCAACTATTAACAGCCACACATTACCACCCAACTGTTACCTTAGAAAGCTAACCATTACTGTGTACCATATTAAAGCTGCATATTCAAATAACAGTGGTGTCATTTGTTCATCCTTTATTTATGATTGTTGCACCTCAGTGAGTAAATCGTACTTAAAGATATTTGTTTTGTGCCAAAAAGCACTTTGTGGTGTTCAACCTATATGAAAGGTGCAAGTTTTTGAAAAGTCTGATTTTTGTTTAAAAAATTGATTTTTTACGTAAAAAGCACATAAAAAAATCAAGCTGAAAGCTAAGAAAAAAGGTGAAAATACCCTGGAAATTAAAGAGGTTACCTTCCCATTTTAATAATGTGAAAACCAAAGATCTCAATAGGAAAACTTAAAACATAGACGTAAAAAGCAGATGCTTAACTGACTTTTCTGGTGAATTTTTTTACCTAAAAGGTAAAGCAAAACAAGTTTTACCCATTTTAATAGACCAGAATTGGTAATATGGTGACAATCTTCTATTCTGTAGATCAACTGAACTTGGAATGAGCACAAGTCACGTAATTGATGTGCTTAAAGCTTCCCAAAGGGACAATCACCTTTTTGAATGTCTGTGTGGTTGAGTCTGTCAGTGGAATACAAACCCATTAGTATTGGAGAATGCTAAAGGAAGAAGAATATTAGCTGAGAATTATTTCAATCTTGGATCTCTGGTTTGCATAGCAGCACAGTAGGGAGACATAATCACTTGACTGTGTTCTTCGTATATACTTCATTCCTTAGTTTACTGCTTTGAGGCTCAGAGAGATCACAATAAATCTTTGACTTGTTAAAATTCTCCCTGATGTAGAGCATATCTTCCAATGCATACACATCATTTCTTCCTGTCCACACAGTCAGGCTGTACCTGCATTAAAACAATATTCCAGAATCAGAACAGATTTGTGTTACAGGCAAGGCTCTGTTTTCAATAGAATGACAGTTCTAACCATTAAAATACAAGAAGACAAGAGTAAACTGTTCATAGACATAAATTAGTCCACAAGTGAGGGCCAAAGATGTAGGTTCTTCCAAGTGTGGCAAAACACACATTTGGCAGTCAAAAATCAATGCATAATGTACCTCTTCCTAGAGGGTTTTCAGGTGAGAACATGCATCCATACCATTGAATTTTACGGTATGCTAGCATTTTAGAGTACATGAGCAACGTCACTCCAACTGTGCAGAGCAAGAGGAGGTTAACTGCAATTTGATTGAAGTATTTAAAACAATGAAAGGAATTGATAAGTCAGATAGTGGATGACTCTTCCTTTTGGTAGTGGGATCCGTTACAAGAGGACGTAGCTTAAAAATCAGATCTAAGCCAGTTGAAACTGAGGCCTGGGAATGTTTTTTCACACAAAGGATAATGAAGATACGGAATGCTATTTTCGCCCAAAATACACACTTTACAATATATTCCGTGAAGCGTTTGAGCTGTCTCAACAACGTGATAAGGCGCTATATCAAATGCAAGGATTAATATTTTTTATAATGCTCTGCTCTAGAAAGCTGTAGAAGCAGAATCAATAGGGCTATTTAAAAGAGAAATGGAAAGAAACATGGGTAGTAGAGGTATTAAGAGTTTTAGCGAAAGGAAGGGGCATTGTGTCTAAAAGATCTACTTAGATCTAATAAACTGGCGGAACAGGGGCTTGCTGAGCTAAATAGAATTTTCCTGCTTCCTATGCTTCACAGAAAGGTCTTCCAGCTGGGAGAAACTGCAATTTAGTTTATATAATAATGATGGCAGACTCCGGAGGATACTGTTACCTTTCCGACTGCTGCAGCAGCCAAAGAAGCTGTGGCCAAGAGGGTCGTACCAGTGCCGCTCTGACAGGGAATGTTACTGGCTGACTTAGTGTCCGGCAGATTTGTTCCATCTCCTGCACCATCTCCCAGGTGTACCCTTAGAGGAGAAGGCAGGTCATTTTCTAATATTTCTCTTATTAAATCATGTGTTTCCCGCAGGTTTTCTGTGACACTATTTCAGGTGACCTAACAGAATGAAAACATTTAAATTTGCCTTTGACAGTCAAGTAATCAATTATTAAAGGAAACGGGAAGTAAACAGGTTTGGGCTAGGTGATGCGGAATAAAACACCGAGAGAAATCCCACATGGGTCTATATTCACTCTATTTATATAGATTTCACAGTGTCCAGAATTTGGCAGATTTTTTAAATCTTTCATTTTGAGCCAGTTTTCTTTTTAAGGCTGAATTTAACAAATTACCAAATTCTGATGCTCTTTAATGTTAAATAGAGTAAATCCCCCATCCTCCCCCACCCACCCCCCCCCCCCCCCCCCCCACCACACCGAGCATTCGCAAGATTCTAGGTATGTCTGTGTTTGATTGTTAATGTGTTTTCAGTTTTCCCTTGATTGAATATTTCTTAATTTATGGCATTAATCAAGAAATAGAATCATATCATAAAATTTTACAGCACAGAGGCGGCGATTCGGCCCACCACTTTGAAAGAGCCACTAACTCGTTCCACTTCCCTGCTCTTACCTCATAGCCCTGCAAATATTTCCTTTTTAAGTACCTACCTAATTCCCTTTTGAAAGCTATTATCAAATCTGCTTCCACCACACTTTCAGGTTGTGCATTCCAGATCGTAACAACTCTCTGTCACAATATTCAAACAAGAATTGTTTTGGGGGACAACCATAAAGGTTGCCCACCACTGCCTTAGAGGAACATCCCAGCTAAGCCCGACGCTGCCTTTACCAGACATCCTTGGTTAAGCTCTGGTCGTACAAAATTATAAAACCAACTTCCACAAAACTTCTTGAAGCGCTGTTGTAAACCAGTTTGTGAAAGGATTAAAATCTGGAATATAAAACTACGCTCAGCTGTGGTGAACTATCACACTGCAGTCCTTACTCTGTGCTGAACCTTAGGATGACCACTCGGTGGCAGAAGACATACCTTTTTAAAAGTAACCAATAGTTTGATGAAGACAATGTCCTTTTAAATGGGTTTAAAGCCCAAGGCCGGGACTCTGAGCTCAGTCTGGAGAGCAACCTCAACTCTGATTGGCCAATAGACCTGTCAATCAAGCCAACAGCTCGCTTGTCTTAAAGGGGACCAACCCTTTATCTGAGGTTTCTCAGATCCCAAAGAATATTTTCACCCGTCTATGGTCCAGCCGGCCATTCCAGTGAAGAATGAGACAGTGCTGCAGTGTCAGAGACACTGCCCTTCAAATAAGAGTTTAAACCAAAGTCTACATTTTCCAGGTGGATATTAAAAATCCCATTTGAAAAAAAGAATTTCTCCCCGTCTGTTGGCCAATGGTCCTCCAGATAATTGGTCATTGACTACATGGCTATTCGTGGGAATTTTTTGTACACAAAATGGTGTGTTCCTACACAGTCACCACACATCACAGCAATTCCCTGGGCAGCTCTTTGAGATATTTGGACTTTCTAAGAGTATATTTTGTTATTGTTATTGGAGCTATATCAAATACAAGGATTATTATCCTTATGGAATACACTGCCTTGCATTTATTCGCATTAAGATCTATGTGTCATTCATTGGCATGTTTACTAAAATGGCCCAGATCTTTTTGTATGCTATTTATCATCTTCTTATAGTTTAACTCCACACATGCACTGATATCATTGGTATGCCTATTTGAATCCCAGTATGTGCAGAGTCTGCAGATCTCAGCCAGGTTGTTATTGTGGCCTTTATGTCCATAGGCTAGAGAGCGTTCTCTCCCAACTGTCATCCAGTGAACTCTGTTAGAATGTTTGAATGTGTGAACGTCAGGTTAAAACTGTAATAATTATCCTTGCATTTGAAATAGGGCCTTATTACATCGTTCAGATGTCTCAAAGCTCTTCACAGAATATACTGTAAAGTGAATTGACTGTATATTTTGTGGACGAAATGTGGCAGTAAATGGCGCACAGCAGTGTTCCACAAACAGTCATGGATTGAGTAACCAAATTAATTATTTATTTTTTTGAAGGGATTTTTATCCCCGGAAAAGGGATCCGCCAACCGGGTTCCTGCTTAATGCTAGATAAACAGAGGCGTGTGGAGTAAGAAAACTTGCCTAACATTTCACCCTGCCCGGTAATCAAACCCGTGTCCCCTCGTTTGCGAGGCGAGTGCTCTAACCAATACGCTAATGAACTCCACCAACAGTATCGGGTTCAGCTGTCAAACCCTCTACAGGCAAACAACCTTCCACTATTCATTGTCTGTGCAGACATAGGGAAGAACTTGTTTAATGTATTCAAAGGGTGACTAACACTCATCTGTGCAACCTTCAGCAAGAGTGAATCGGCTCGGCAACAAAATGCAGTCACAACATTTTACAGTAAATCTTGTGAAGCACATCCTGTCAACGTGAAAGACGGTATATTAAATGGATGGATTATTATTATCATAAGAGAGACATTGTAAAAAAAAAGTGAATATGTTTGTAATAAATGTAACTGTCAATTAACTTTTTAGTGACCTCACCATTGTTTGTTTGGCCAGCCAGCCAGCCAGTCGTCCATCCCAGAGACAATGTCACATCTGGTAAACGGGAAGTTACTGCACCTAAAAATCCACTCACGTCTATTGCTTTGCAGCTTCCGTTTGGTCCCGGAAGAATGTCAGCATTAATCCAAATGGGTCGACCAAGGCAATCCTTCATACCTTTTAGTATTTTCATAGAAGGTTCCACGGCTGCTAAGCTATCAAAGGTAAAGCATTTCATTTTAAATCAAAGAAAGTAAATTAATCAAATCCAGTATCTCATTAATATCACATCTTGATATACAGAGCACATTGATTTAAGGCTTTCTCAGTAATGGACAAAGTTAGCGGCTGAAACCCGACTCAAGTAGACGGATTAGTGGCACCAGTATGTAATATAATCATACTCCCTTTGTAATTTACTAGCTCTCTCTCTATTGCAAAATTGTCCCAACTGCAACTGGCTCCTCTATAAATTTAAGGCGAGGATTTGCCGAAGAGTCAGGTGGATGAGCAAGCCAGATTCCAAATGGTCAGCAAATATGCCGACTGCCAGAGAATCACGTGCTCATGTCCACCAAGGACAGTTACTTACCACCAAAAACTCATCCTCTAATTCTTTTATACCTATTTATTAACGGTTTGTCCCATAAGGTAACTATTTCTTTAAACTTATCATTGAGGGAAGGGGACATTCCATTGGCAAGCACATCACCTTGGAGCCCGTTCAGCTTTAAGACTAGCCTGCTAAAAACTGCTTTTCAGTCTATTGCAGATTTTAATGGATTTTAACAGCAGAACTGTTGGGGAGTTCTGCTGGTTAGTATTGCTCAGTAACTAACTGCCACTAGAAACTAAATTACATTAACTATTCGCAACTTGTGTTAGCATTTCATGTTTCAGTCTTCAGCTAAGCACCTGTGTAAATATTCTAAGAGTATTTTAAGTGCCCTACCTCTTAAAATCAAGTTTAATGCCCTTGTCAGATTGCAGAACCTCATTCAACCATTCATGCACAGTGTTGTCGCTGTCAGTGTCTGGGGGATGAGCCATGATTGGTTCCCCATCGTGTGACCCTTGGCTTCCGAAGATAACATCTGCTTCAATCATATGAGCATCACCTATATTCCAATTAAAAAGCAAGGACTGATTATATTCAAGGAGTGATTGCCCTCAACGAGTAATTACAAGGCAATGATGTCACATTGCACACTATGAAAGTTAAAACTATCTAACAAACATCATAAAGTTGACAGTTTCATTGCCCTTTGGTTCTTTTTTCCTATGTTTCGTATCAGCATCATGGCAGACATAGAAAACCAGGTCAGACCAAATAGTTGGCACATGCCTAAGCGGTGACGGGTATGATGCGTAATCACTGCCAATTTATTGATAACTCAATTTGTTCGTTCCTAGGAAATAATTGTCAGTACACAAGAGATGCAATTGAAATAGAATTCTGACACAGGCCTGTTGTCTGGATGACACTGAAAAACAGGGACAGGCTCCAATGGATATAGAGAAACCCAATTTTTTTTAAAAAAATTCTTTAAATTTGCTGCTGCTTGTAATGATGCCAGCATGGGGATACCAGCATCATTACAGACAGCGGGAATTACAAATATATCTGATCAAACATATGTTGATCAAATTGATTAGAAAACACCCATGTAGGCTATTTTCCTCCTCATTGTGAATCTGTTGTGAATATGTTCAGTAAATATTTTGTGTATATATTTATATACTCTTTGAAGTTGAAATATAGTTATTATTTGAACATTTCGTTCTTAGATTTTAACAATTTTAACATTTCTTAACATTTTTCACACTTTGCTTTTGTAATAAGCTCGAGTATTTACGGAAATAAACAAGAGTGGAACTAAATTCTATTTCTCATGGCTCTAAAAAAAACTTATTGCAATGATATGAAAATAATTGCAACTTTTAGGGTGACCATATTCCCAGATTTCTGGGCAGTCTCCAGATGAGGTATTGTGTCCCTGGGGCCAAATTTGCCCTGTCTTCAGATCAGCAGTAAACTGAGCAAGAACAATAAATTCTAAAACTCAACGAAGTACAGAAATACCGCCATTAATCCAACAAGCTTCTCCAATACTGACAGCATCAGCAATTGTGGTACGCTAAAATATTTTATATATATGTCCCTGGATTTGGTTTACAAAATACGGTCGCCCTAGAGGATATCTATTCTCTTATCTAAAATGAAGATTTCTTTGCTGAGTTCCTCTTACTTTGCAGCGCTTCTTGCATTTGTGCTTTCCTGTTGGCTCCATGGTACCACTTGATTTCCACAGCATCTTTTGAACGGATTCTTCCCCGGTGAAGGAAGTAATTCACAGCGTTTTCTCCGCAACCTAAACAAGAACAAAAAAAACAACCGGGCTCTGAATGTGCAGTACCTTGCAACAGGTAACATTACATGTAGATACCGAGAGGAATGTGGTTCAGCCTGAAAATAAAATCCTACTAAATGGGCTCAAAACTGTTGACATTTTTTCCAACAAGATGAAAACCTAGAAGTAATTCCCCATATGTACACACAATTCTAGCAATACTGATAATATTTCTACATACTGAGTCCTTTTATTGTAACACTTTTCCTCGCACAGTGGTGTGTAAGTGAGTTGAGCAAGTCACAAAGAACTGCAAATATTTCCTGAGCTGGTGGTGTCTCATCCTGCAAAGAGAGTATGGGGAGGGGGGGAGTGAGACACCCGCTGCAACAACAACTTTCACTTATACAGCACACTTCACGCAGTAGCGTCTCAGAGCGCTCGATGGTGTCGGGGGGTTACGCCAAACGCGGGGGCGAGGGAAGTGACAACAACAACTTGCATTTATGTAGCCCTTCATACGGGGTAGAGTCTCACATTAGTACATTACTTTATAATAATAATCATTTGATACGGCGCCTTATCATGTCCTCGAGACGTCTCACAGCGTTTCACAGGATATACTGTAAAGTGTAGTGACTGTGTATTTTGTGGGTGAAACGCGGCAGCCAATTGTAGATAATGTAACCTTTATAAATGTATTATAAGTATGGGAGTCGCCCCCACCCCCGCCTGCCCCCCCCCCCAGCCCCCCCTGCCCCCCCCCCAGCCCCCCCTGCCCCCTCCCCCCAGCCCCCTCCCCCCAGCCCCCCCTGCCCCCCCCCCAGCCCCCCCTGCCCCCCCCCAGCCCCCCCTGCCCCCCCCCAGCCCCGCCTGCCCCCCCCCCAGCCCCCCCAGCCCCGCCTGCCCCCCCCCCAGCCCCCCCAGCCCCGCCCCCCAAGCCCTCAGCCCCGCCTGCCCCCCCCAGCCCCCAGCCCCCCGCCTGCCCCCCCCCACCAGCCCCCTGCCTGCCCCGCCCCCAGCCCCGCCCCTCCCAGCCCTCAGCCCCGCCCCCCCCAGCCCTCAGCCCCGCCCCCCCCAGCCCTCAGCCCCGCCTGCCCCCCCCCAGCCCCGCCCCCCCCAGCCCTCAGCCCCGCCTGCCCCCCCCAGGCCCCCCCCAGCCCCGCCTGCCCCCCCCAGGCCTGCCCCCCCCCCAGCCCCCCCCAGCCCCCCCCAGCCCCCCCCCCGGCCCCCCCCGGGGCCCTCACCGCGCTCCCGCTGCTGCTCCATCACACCGCCCGGGCAGCCAACAAACCCCGGACTGGATACCACCTGACAAACCCCTCCCCCGACTGCAGTTTCACAGTAGAGGAAGGATTCAGCTGATTCCCGCTCCACGTCTTACTCCCCATCAGTGGTGCCGGGTTGGGCGGGTTTTGGGGCGGGTTTTGTTGTTGATTGTGCGTGAAAACCCCCTTTGGGCGGGTGCTGTCTACTTTTTAAAAATGTTTAATTTAAATTCACATTTTTGCAGTCCCCCCCCACCCCGCCCCGTCTTTCAAGACCTTTTCTCACAGGGTTTTGAGAGCACTGTGCTAAATTGGCCAATTGCAGGCAACACACACTATTTGGGTTACTTTTGGGTTTGTATTTGCTTGACTTTGGGCTACAAATCTATTCACAAAAGCACTTTACAGAAACTTTGTGACCCCCTTAGAGCCATTCTCAGTGCAGTTCCATTACCACGTGTAAATATAATACAGAGCTCACTGGTGAGAAGGTGAGCAGACAAAATAAATCCTCAAAACAGAAGGTATAATTTGGAGGATTTTGATTTCAGGATCCTCTCACTCGCTTTCATTGCCTTCACACCCCCCTAATAATAATAAATAATAATAATCCTTGCATTTGATATAGCGCTTTTCACGTCGGGAGGACGTCCCAAAGCGCTTCACAGAACACACTGTAAAGTGAATTGACTATATTTGTGGGCGAACGCGGCAGCCAATTGCGCACAGCAATGTCCCACAAACAGTCGTAGATTGAAAATGACCAATTTAATTATTGTTTTTGGGTTTTTTTTGGAGGGATTATTATTAGGCGTGTGGAGTAAGGAAACTTGCCCAAGGTTTCGCCCTCTGCCTGGAATTGAACTCAGGTCTCTCACTTGCAAAGCGAGTGCTCTAACCACTGAGCTACAGGACTCCCTAAACCACCCTATTTACTCACCGACAACTCCACCATCCGCTGTCTCCATTCGGCTTTCTCCGGGCGCCTGATCTCCTCCGCTCCACCATCGGTCGCTGCGTCTTCAGCCACTACACCCCGAAACTCTCCCTCTACCCCTCCGCCTTGCCCCCTCCCCGCTTTCAAATCCTGCCAAAAGGCCTTCCTTTTTTGATCATGGTTACTGTCATTTCCCCCCTTCCCTCTCCCCCTGGCTCGGGGTCAGACTCCACTACTGTCAAGCGTTCCAGGACGCTAACTTGTGTGAAAAGCGCTATATTGTATAACCCATAAGTTTCAGGTCATCTCAAGAGAATATATTTCTATCTTATGGATTTCTTTTATTCATTCATTATTCTGTATCTGATGTGAAAACGTTGGATTGACTCGATGGACTGCAATGATTTTTCTGGTCCTGTTGTTCATATGTAAAGTTGAAGGTGATCAATAACTCGAGCCCCTTATGTACTTGTCAAACAAGATTTTCTTGGCATCGTCTTGCACATTAATATTTATTTAGGATTTTTTTTCCATCTATCTTTTTCAGATTTACAATGCATGAAGCTGAAATATGAACATGTAAAAATACTTTCCAGAGAAAAGTTTAAGATGAGCTTCTTATTGATCATTCCCCAAAATGACATTTGAGAATTGATAGCACGGACATAACATTCAATGTTGTTTCAGGTCCATGGTAAAAAATTAAAACCAGACTTGATATTAGTACATTTTTATTGTGATAAATACAAACTAGACTTTTCAAGTAACAAGTATTTTCAAGAGCTATTATTATATTTAAGAAAGTCAGGAAGACATATTTTATATTATGAAAGTTATAAAAATCGGCTTGAGGTAAGAATCTCAAATCCCACCAGGAGTATTTATCAGAATGATTTTACAATTCAGTACTAAACACCATAACCAATAGTTCATAAAAATACATTTATTTACACTTTACTGAAACTCCTTTAAAAGTAGGAAAGACAGCCACAGCTTTCCTACTATGATAATTATGATAATTGATAGTGTTTTTGACTGCTTTGCTAAATGATAAATTCTCATAATGATATCCATTAAATTTAATTGTAACAGGATCAATACAGAATCACCGTACATATTGTTTAGATTTTCATATTGTTCAAGCTCTTTGGTTGAGGAATTAAGAATATAACAGATCAAACTAAGATCAAACAGTTGAATACCAACCAGGATTTGATCTAAAATTGCAGGCATTGAGTTGGTGACTCAGAATTTACCAATGTGGACTCTCTCTGAAGTGGTTTTACATACTCATGATTTAGTGCTGTTTTCTCATATAGGTAAGTGTGAAAGCAAAGCAGACTGCTGTAGCATTATACATTAAATAGGAGCTCCGTTCTAGATAATCCTGCAAGTGAAAGCCCTAAGGGTGGTTATAGATCAGTAGAGAAGGAAGCTCGCTTGTGTTTACAATGATAAACAGTGTGGTTAACTGGTTAAATTATTCCAACAATAGCCCTAACGCTCACTCTAGGGTCCCCACGCCTTGGCTCTTGTCAATTTGCACCTGAACTATCAGAGCTCATTCCTCTGGAGAGAGTGTGACCTCCATAATGGATAAATGGAAATCATATTTACAGTATATCCAATTCTCAGTAGTTTGTTTGGAGATTTTTTTTGTCATATACCTGCCTGACCAAAACAAAATTAGACACGATTCATTTTACTGGTAGAAATATTGACAAAGAAAGAAGAAACAGGCTGAATCAAACACACTATCAAATTGTTAATTCTGTATAGATGTTTGAATTGTATTACAGGTGTTCCTAAATTATTTCTGTCTACTATATGGGAAATTAGCAGATGACATTCAATAAAATTAAAATTTAGATAACACTAAAGAAATTACTAATTTGGTACCATTAACACTCCCCATCAATTGTTCTTTCCTAACAAACCAGCCAAGGACTGTACCATACCATTTTTCATTTTAATTGAATTATGAGGATCCTTCTCTCAAGCCAGTACATTTTACTGCCTTATCATTCCGATGCAGATGACACATTAAGATAATTAATTTTCAAAAGTTTTCTACTTATTTTCAAAAAAAGTGTCCTGCTATATTTAGCAGAGCAATACGTCCCTGTAATGAAAGGAAAATTTTCAGACCAACTCATCCACCTAATGCCTTAGGCCGACAGAATACTTTGGTGCACTGAATATTTCTCTGGACAAAAATGGTTTACTTTTGCCTAAACCCACAATTTCACCAACATAGAACACATATGGCCCCAGATAAGTTATTTTGGGTAAAGTTTGTGAGTTTTCTTTCCACAAGTGACTGTTTGTCATTGTAAGAAATCACCCAGTCACTATAAATCACAATCTACTGTGACTGCAGCAAATTGGTAATATAAAGCATATATAAATATATGCATAGAAATTGAACACAAACTCCTACGAGAATGCATATCATTCAATATTAATCCAATAAGTAGCACTGCTTTGTCACTTCATATTCTATGACTCCGTCACACCTCACGTGGTGTTGCTCAAAACATCTCTGTGGTGACATTATTTTGTTGTATTTCACCCATGGATCAGCAATGAAATCCTGCTGTAAATGAGAGGACACACAAGTATACACAAGGAAACCACAAACTCGAGACGTCTCAAAGCACTTCACAGAATATATTGTAAAGTGAATTGACTGTATATTTTGTGGGTGAAATGCAGCAGCCAATTGCACACAGCATGTCCCACAAACAGTCATGGATTGAGTGACCAAATTATTTTTGTTTTTAAAGGATTCTTACCCCCGGAAATGCTATCCGCCAATCGACTAACAACTGGTTTCCTGCTTACTGCTAGGTAAACAGAGGGGTGTGGAGCAAGGAAACTTGCCTAAGGTTTTGCCCTGCCCAGGAATCAAACCCACTTGGTTACTATTGGCTACATGCTTTAAAGAAACCTGAACGACAAATATTGATGTACCTTTTCCCTTGTATACTAGCAGTAAAAAGTACAAGCTTGGATTCAGAAAGGAAGGAATTAAAGACACTATCAACATGCATCTTGAGAAATACAAAATCCACAGTAAGAAGTTGAGTAAATAATATACATTTTAATGGCTTTTCAAAGATTCAAAGGAATAGTTAGATAAAGAAGGCTTATAGTAGAAAAGTGATTGCATATTACTTTATCTGAATACAATTACAGACAGTGTTCTGATACTGCCACTGCAGCCACTGGTCTGTGAACTACCAATTTCATAAACTTAAAAGTTCCTTAAAATTGGTTCCATTTTACCACAACTCTTCTCAAACTGATTGTACTCTATTTGAAACTAATATCTTCCCACTTTTACTTTATAAAATCAATAAAAACTGGGTATGAAAGACAAATAGGCTGGAAATACTATTTCAATTAATTCAAACATTCCTGAAAATCTTAGCCATTCATTACATTTCAATGAGCATTCCTAACTAGTGTGTACATTCCTTGGAACACATTTCTATTTTGTGCTATTATAACGTTTCCAATGCATTCAACATATGTAAAGGTCAATATCTCTAAGGAATGGCATCCACTCGTTTACAGAACCATATCCCCAATCTTGGGAATATCAAGAATTGTATGAAATTTTCTGATCAGATTGTGAGAGACTCAATTTTCCTATTATGGCTTGCGGAGCTGTTCATTGCTCAACTGAATGAGATTTCTTGACAGAAATACTACAGTAATTGGTGGATCTTATGAGGTTTTTTGTTCCCCTATCCACTGATTATCAGAATAAGTCACATCACTGTAAGGGAGGGAGAAGAGATAATTTGCCTAACTTGCAAATCATTTCCAACTCTTTGCAAATAAAAAAAAATACTGTTGTTTATTTGCTCTATTCAAATATACAGGCTTTCTTCCTCTTTCCAGGTACCAGCCACAGTAGAATCCCATTTACGTGTCCTGAAAGGTGCTGAACTCTAAACATTCCTATCACTATACAATCTTTTAAATATAAATTACATTTGTTGTAGTGTTCATTGCCACTATTTCCTTGAATTAATCTACTTAGCAAAACAAATTTAATGGCCTTGGGTTTCTGATCCACCAACTTCTAACTTACTACCTGCCATAATAGTGATTTGTTTGTTTAAAAAACCCAGTTTCATGGTTTCTTTTGATGCACCAAAATTCCATAAAAATTCCACTTTTAGCCATAAATTTAGACAAACCTAAATTTGGAGAATCTGTACAGCAACTGTGTGCATGAAATTCTAGGCAAAGGTTTGAGCTTTCAATTGTATTCATCCAATTACCTTCTTCATTTCCACCATAGCTTGTGCAAAAAGCCATTAATGTGGATTTATGCTATAAAAAGTCTTTGCAAATAAGAAAAAAAATTGCAACCAGTTTTATCATCAAAGTTGTTTACCCTTTGATGTACTTTCAACCCAAAACGTATTTGTGAAAACAAGCAGTATTTGGTATTAAATATTTAGATTAAAATTAATGCTAGTTTCATATTTTTGTATACTATTCTTAAGTTATATGGAGCTTGAGGGGATGCTGGAACTGGAAAGAAAAGTTGTGAAGGGGTGAACAAGGCAACAATGCTACTGCTACATTTCTCGCCATAACATATGGTTCTCCTCCTGTCTCTTCTCACATTGCTTTGCCCAAATGGATTTCATTTCTCTGAGACTCCAAAGAGAGGGTTGTCCATCAGTGTACATGTCCATATGTAGGTTTCCCCTGCCACACAACACCAGAAATCTTAACGGTTTCATCACAGAGACTGAAACTTGGCCTCGAAGCTACTGTATTACAGAACTATATGAGATTACTTTACAAAAGGAATTATTGCATTTTCTCAGAGAAGTCTCAGAGTGGCATGAGAGCACTCAAACAGTTTCCTCTGCAAAACCCCAACATTTTATCACTCCATTTCTGCAAACGAAGGGGGAGATATCTGTGCTAATGGATCCTGATATATTTGCACTCCCCGTCCTGTTCAGAGAAGGGTTTCCAGGAGGAAGAAAAACAATTCCATTTCGAGAGGCCCACTGCTGGCATGAGAACTGCCACTGTGAATAACTGGTATTAAAGCACTGTCCAGGTCATTCATATAGTTTTGGGGAAGAAGCTGACCCCTTGTTCCTGCTTGATACTCAACCTGCAAAACAAACAAAAAACTGTATAATCTAAATGGCCTCAGTACTATTTTATGTAAAATGACATTCTGATTCTTGTAGCTCATAAAATCAGCATTATGTTTCTTGACAATTGTACCAGTAATCTGTCATGAAAGCTGAAGTTTGAAAATACTATACAAAAAACTCACTGTTCACAATTATCAGTTTCCGTCTCAGTGCCTCACATTCTATTAGACAAGTCAATGGAAAGAATCCAAGTTTTTACAGCCTGCCTTTCACATTTTTTTAAATTCACCATTGAGTTACCAAAGAACTGATGTAAATCACGATGACCATAGTTTATATTTAGTATTTTGTATTTTACTAGGGTAAATGTCAATCTTTCCAATTCAAACACAGATTGGCAAAGTTACATTAATAACTTACATTTACGTAGCAACTTTCACATAAAATAAATCGCTTTACAAAATAAAATGAAAAATGAAGGAAATATTATTGTGAATGGCAATAATAATCCCCACAAGCTCTGGAAAAATTTGTGTTAATTGTTTCTCACACAAATAGTAGTTAGGATGCAGAATATCCCACCGAAGCAGTGTTAGGGTCAGAACCCATATTCTCCTTCAAAAGAACTAGATAAATAACTTAAAAGGAGTCAACTACAAGGTAGTATAATAATAATAATAATCCTTGCATTTGATATAGCGCTTATCATGTCAGGAGGACGTCCCAAAGTGCTTCAAAGAACACACTGTAAAGTGAATTGACTGTATATTTATGGGCGAACGCGGCAGCCAATTGCGCACAGCAATGTCCCACAAACAGTCGTAGATTGAAAACGACCAATTTAATTATTGTTTTTGTTTTTTTGGAGGGATTATTATTAGGTGTGTGGAGTAAGGAAACTTGCCCAAGGTTTCGCCCTGCCTGGAATTGAACCCAAGTCTCTCGCTTGCAAAGCGAGTGCTCTAACCACTGAGCTACAGGACTCCACGGGAGATGGGAGATAGTATGGGAAAAGGGCAGGTATATGGGACTCTTAAAGGAACCGGCAGGCCATATGGCCTTCTGTATTGTACGTTTCTATGCCTTGGGACAACCTCCCAATATGAAAGGCACTATACAAATGTAATTTGTTGCTGTTATGGTTCTAAACTTGGATGATAACCTCCATTTGATATGCTGTTTAAAGACAACACTGAAATTACTTTTATGACATACACATGCAATCATCGAAAGAATTCCCATTTACGTTTTAGGTTTTTCAAAATAACACAGCTTTTTCAACAAATTATACTTGAGTGATATTTACCTTGTCAGTGTCTAAGGAGACCCTGAGACTCAGTTTGTTTATTCCGATTTCTTTAAGGACTTTCAGATGAGGACATAGAGCGGCACAACAAGCAGTAGCAATCTCTTTGGTCAACTGATTCTGTGCAGGTGGAATGTTAGGATTGAGCGGGTCATGATTTCTTTGCAAAAAGAACACCTGGAATATAGATTTAAATGATTTGTTAACTCAAAAGACGATTACGACCGTATTTTGCACCAAAAACAGCAAACAATGTCTACATACTTTCTCAGTATTACCGAGCTTTCCTGTCAAATGACCTATTATACCTATTGGTTACATTAAAGTTCAGCTTCGTTTCCTATAATATAGTTGAATGTCATTTGGACTGAGTGCACTTATGGAGGATTGTCAGATTGCTTTCACTCACTCCTTTTTCCTCTTCTCAATGCTTAGCTCAGATTAGTAACTCAATGGGGAAATCACAGAATACAGACAGCATACTCTGTGAAAATATCATGTATATTGGGGACATTGCAAAAGATCTCTGTAAAAAAAAATCCATTTCTCTAATTCTGAGCAGGGCATCAGTTTATGAGTGTGTCACTATAGTAAAGAATGCAACTATGCAGTTCAGGAATCAAACAATATTGGTATGTTTCATATTTTTGGAATATCTATTCCAAACCCTAAAATTAATACAATATGAATGCAATTAAAAGCAGCTCTGAAATAACAGTATGTTTGGTGAAGGACTCATGTAATGAGATAAAAAGATTTCAGTGTAGTATGTTATTTTGACACATCTTCACGATGTTGTTAGGAAATCCCCGGTATAATCCACACCTCGATAATCTTACACGTTCAAAAATTCACAATGTTCTCCAGCCTAATGCAGTTTTCCAATACTCATCCATTCAAACTAAATTTACATTATTAATACTAATCCCTGCATTTGGTATAGCTCCTTCATGTTGGAAAGACATCACAGTGCTTCATAAGATTTACTGTGATTGTATTTTGTAGCTTAATGTTAATCAGAGCATTCGCAACCCCAGTGCCTTGCAAACCTCATGATGTAAAGAAGCTGTAAAGAACAGTAAGATCCATTTTCAGTTCTGGATCTGTGCAACTAAATTCAGTCTGAATAGTTGCACAGACCCTGAATAGTGGTGGGCTCAATGTACCTCAGTTAAGGAGTGGGTTGTAGTCTGCCAGGATTCCTGCTGGGAAATGCATGTGTGGATATCAGGTAAATTCAAGGTTGTGCTTGCTTAGCTTTGATGGCTAATCCCATTGTCAAATAGTTTGTTATCACTGATTTGGCTAACACTTCCTGTAATCTCATCAGGATTATCACCATCCAGCCATTGAACGTTCATGTATTCTTTCACACTCCCCCAATAATCACACTAGAAAAGTGGCCATTTATTAATGTAGTACTGCTAATGTCCACTGCAATCCATCATGAGCCACTGTCTTCAGGAGGATCGGTGGGAAGGGAAAAGGGAGAAAATTGGAAGAAAAAACAACCTTTTACTGTCACTTCACATCTCTAACTGAATGGCCATACTGACCTCTGTACACCTGACGACAATACCATCTGCTTCAAACTCTGTTTCTTGCAAGACTCTGATGCTAGGAACTCCTTCCATTGACCGACCATCAATAGGGCTCATAACACTGGAAGCAGAACCAAAGTATATGCTTGAGTACAGTAATGTAATGTTTTAAATAATAATCTTTACATTTGATATAGTGCCTTATAACAAATCAAAAAGGCATATTGTTCATATAAAGGGTTAATATGCCTGTAAAGATTAATCCTACCCTTTATTTACAGGATTTTCACCATCCAACCATTGAATATTCATGTATTCTTTCACATCACTTGAATCCAATCTTCCACAGATAATTTGAAAGTCTCTTTTCTCCTTTAGAGATTGCCTTAAACCCTCCATTGTCTCTGGAGTAATCTGCACCATAAGTCCATCTGAAAAACAAGAGCAATCAACAAATCATTCAATAAATGAGCAAATCAGTTCAGAATGTGTTAGCCTGGCTCAGTGGTATCACTCTTGCCTCTGAATCAGCAGTTTGTGGGTTGAAGCCCGACGACGGGACTTGGAATCACACAGTCTAAGATGAAACTCCAAACAGTGCTGGGAGTATGTTGCATTGTTGGAGATGCTGCCCTTCGGATGAGACGTTAAACCGAGGTCCAATCTGCCTGCTCATGTTAAAGGTCCTATGGCAATATTTCAAAAGAGAATGGAATTTCTCTCGGTGTCCGGGCCAAAAATCTCTCAAGTAAAATTGATCACTCACTGTTTGTGTGATGTTGCTGCGTGCAACTGGCTGCAGCGTTTCGCCCATAAAATACACTTTACAGTGTATCCCATGAAGTTTTGACATGATAAGCTGCTGTACCAAATGCAAGGATTATTGTTAGAATTTCCGATTTGTGGATCAGGAGACATCTTTTCTTCTCTCCCATCCACCACACTTGACTCAAACTACCATCTAATTCCTGAATTTTTATTATGAATTATTCTTTTTATAGCAATGTGATACCATCCTGAGAACCTGCTCTCTGTTACACCTGAGTTTACGGGATCTATTGTAGTATTTTGTTCCCCACTGTCTGATTATTCATCTTTGTTAAAAGTTTTTTTCTGGACTAAACTACTGGTTGAAACATCTATCAGTACAGATGCTAAAACGGTAACTAGACATAAATCTTACCTTCAACGATACTGGACTTAGCAATAAATCCTGAGGTGGTTTTCAGAGCTCCGTTAAACACAACAAAACTGGCTCCTGTAACTAGACCACAGAATAAATACTTTAATCATTGAGCAACTTTCACTTTCCAATGAAGCAGAAAACCTAATAGCACAGTTACCTTTTCTGGATTTTCCAGTGACACTGTTTGCCTGTGTTTGATAACTTCTATCCTCATTCTGTATGCAAACCAGATGTGAGTCAGCCGCCATACTAAAGCACATGCCCATTGCAATTACATGCTCATTTGAAGAGTTCACCACTTTCATGACCTGAGAATATGAACAGACAGATAGTATTGGAAAGTCGTCAATAGTTTCTGGTACGAATGAACAAACACCAATTTTAGCACTCGACCCTTAGAGCAAAAGGGATGGGAAAACTATGGTACTCCAGTGACACAGGGGCCCTGAAATAAGGAAACGGAGGTGGAGCTCCCCAATGAATTTGTCAATAAAGGCACCATACTGCAGCCAGAAAATATACAGATCAAATTCCAGTCTGCAAATCAGCTGACCTGAGCAGGGCAGCAGACAGACACGAGAATTAGCCTTAGTTCCCCGTTGGCTAGAAAAGGGAAAGAGGAAAATCAGTCAAGGTTTTCCCCTCTTGATCACAATCCAGTGACTACTGTTGGAAAATGTGCATATGTGGATGTCAGACGAGGACAAGACAGAGCTCAGCTGGAATGACCTCCATGATAGAATAGTTTACTGACATTCAGTATTTGGGACAGCTTCCTCTTGCTCTAGGCTGCTGTATGTTTCTGGAAGTAGCTGCAAATGGCTCCTTTAAGGTCCCTGAGAGCAGGTGCTTTGGACCTGTCTGCAGCTTCGCCCTCCCCCCATTAAGTCTGGGAAAGTTCAGTTTTGTCTGCGTGGGAAGAGTTCTGGATCAGTTCCCACACTAGTACATCCCTTGAATCACTCATGTACTTTGTACCTTTGAACTTGACAGGCCCTTTAGAAATAAACTGCCACTAGTTTATGGTAATTTTGTTTTCAACATAATATATACAGGACAAGGAAGTGGGATTTAAGGCTTCGATCAAAGGCAAATTTCTTTTTAAACTAGCAGCCTGAAGACTCCACAACTAATCAATGGTATTTCAAGGACATTAGAAAATGTTAAGTATGTCCTTCAGACGATACATTAAACCAAGGCACTGTCTGCCTGTTCAGGTAGATGTTAAAAATCCCACAATACTAATCAAAAAGAGAAGGGAATTTCTCCTAGCGTGCTTGTTAGGAAGGTCAATTTTAATCTTTGTTATACTGCTCATGAATGTCGTTTTGTTAAACGGACCCAAAGAAATTGCATAAAGACGTAAACTTCCTCCCGACGTGGAAGGCGCTATACAAATGTCATTTGTTGTTGTTTCTTCCCTCATGCCTTCAATAATTTGAAACTCTTTGAAAGTCTCATAACTTACCTCATTGTATCTTCTCTTTGGAATCTTAATATAGCTTTTCCCCATCTCCATATGAAGCACTAAACCCTCAATAGTGGGCAGAGTATATTGGTAATTTCGAAGATCCTGTACAGGGTGGGGAGGAGGGAGAAAAAGACACACCAAATTTCAGATGAAGCAAAAGCACAATTAGTTTCAAGGAGTTGAAGGTCTTTTTATCTTCTATGTTTGTTATAAACTCTTCGCCCAGCAATACAGTGCACACAGCTCCAAACCACCTGTGTCACAAAGTATCAGATGCTGTCTGTTTTCTGTGATTCCCCATGAGTTACTAATCTGACCCAGGCATTGAGAAGAGGAAAAGGGTGTGAGGGATACCAATCGCCCAGGCTGACAGTCTGATATGCTTTGATGCAGATGTTTATACAGCTACTGTACTGTATACAAAAGCAGATCATTTGACCAGTCCCTCAGTTGGGGATGGGTGAGGTAAGATATTACGAATTAGGAAGGGTAAAAAGATACAATATTTATCAAAGCATTGTTTGCTGTGGGAATTTTTTTTTTAGGGAGTGACGGGGAGATGCCAACAATGTAAGATTATTTTCTCACATCCACAACAATACTTACAGCTCATAAAGAATAATATTGTTCTCTTTTGTATATTCAAGACATAAAATATTTTAATTTGATCTGGGGACTGTTTTGCAGTCCTTGAAAGATGGAAAGTAACAAGAACCTAATAGATCAAAGAAAAGAATGTGTAACCTTGGATTTTTGTATTACGTAATTCAAGTTAATAAACTGTAAAAATGTTCTTGGTTGAATATTTACATCATCAGATAAAAGGGTCTCTCTACAGTTGAGCTGGCTCCAAGGAGAAGGGAAAGTGAAGCTGAGTCAACTCTCTATGGTGCATTCAGTGATCAGATGTTTGAGATAGGGCCTTCTGCAGTGTTCTAAGACAATGTTAATGATATATTTGCCTTAAAACAGGACTTGGAAAGTAGAGCTATCACTGGAGGAATGGAGCTCTTATCAATCATCTCCTGATAATCCTGCAAGCTAAATTCCTAATGTGTGGTCTTAACTGGTCAAGCAGTGGAAAGCTTACCAGTGATCAGCTCGTATTGGTAAGATGAATGAATTTAGTGGGTTCACTGTCACACTAATATTCATCAACAAAAGTAATAACTTACTGCCAGCAAGTTCATGATGGTGTGGCCTGTTTCTGTAAAGAGTGCTTTCCGGGTTCGGACACTCACCAGAGGACAAGGGTAAACTGCAACAGAGAAACAATTAAATAAAAGTTTGGATAGTAAAGGCATATTAGAATAAACTAGCTCCGGGACTCTACCCTGCGTGAAGGGCACTATATAAATGCAAGTTGTTGTTGTAAACCAGTGGATATAATAAAACAACAATTACGTTGCACAGCAAGATGAAAACTCACCATTATTCTCTGCTCCAAGCCTTAGCATGAGTCGAATAGGAAACACCTTTGCCCAGGGTACTTCAAGTTTCTGAATGAGAATTCCAAACAAAAATGGACTGTCCGGCAGTGGAAGATCTTCCAGTGACTGGAATGTGGGTTCAACAAACAGGAATCCACCGTGGTCTTTACTGCCAAGAAAACTTTCCATGAAAGAAATGTTTCCTAAGTTTCCAATGGATTTTCCTGTTGTATCACAAGGCAGGAAGCATTCAGTGTTTTAAAAGATTTCAAAAAAACGTTAGGTTAGGCAGTGTATAGCTGAAATTTTTTCAATCATTTTATTTTATTAACAGTTTACGATTCAAAACCACAATTAGTTTTTATAAGGCCTGAAAATAAAGTTAATCCAGTTCCTTCAGGCTGATGGTTATTACAAGTGGTCAGATTATTACATTTTACTAGTTAACCAGAGTTATTTTTGACTAAAACAATCCCATTTTAAAAAGACAACAGCAAAAATAGAAAGATTAGTATAAATTAACAGCAGCAAAAGTCAACTTTCTCAAACTAAGTACAAATTGGTGAGGATGTAAGATTTGAAGTGAATTTTAGTTATGGCAGCTACTTCGTACATTATTATGTTGTTATAATAGGGATAGCAATGTACAGCCCTGAAGTGAAATGCAAAGTAGTAACTTGACTGATGAACTCAGAGATCTTGAACATTAACAAAATAAAGCTTCAAACATTTGTATCAGAGACCGATGCCTGAATTAGTTGTGCAAGTTAAACTATTTACAACAACAACAACAAGATTCCATTTATAAAGCGCCTTTCACGTCAGGAGGACGTCCCAAGGCGCTGTAATGCTATTTAATGCTATAGTTAAATAATTATTTATATTATTATTAGGGTCTGTAACCCAACATGAATTAATAACGGAGAGGGCAGTATAAACTAGAAGAATTACCATCTATTCACAGGTTTGCATTCATAGGCTTATAATTATGACGGAGTTATAGCAAAGTGAAGGCATTTATCTTGGATTTGCCCACAAAATATACAGTCACTACACTTTACAGTATACACTACACTTTACAGTATATTCTGTGAAGCTCTTTGAGATGTCTCGAAGACGTGATAAGACGCTATATCAAATACAAGGATTATTATTGGACAATGTACTAGTCATACCTTTAGATGCATCTTGGTACATTGTGATAAAGAAGTTGAAGATATCTTTGGGAATTGTGCTTTCATCAGGCTCACAAAGCAACAGAACAACAACTTCTGCCTGACCCATACCATGCAATCCACTGCTTACAAAGTACCAGCATTTCCTTGCAGCATCTAAGAATCAGGAAAGAAGAAAATGAATGGAAACAACTGCCAACATTTATGAAATCGACATACATGAATCAAAAAAAAGCTCAGGATCTAACAAATAATTCCTCCATAGCCATTGTGAGTTTATCTACTTATAACCTGGAAAATCTGAAGCATTTATACAGTGACAGAAAGTACGTGCAATTTCAGACCCACACATTACACAAAAGATTGAGACAAACCTGCACAATCTCAATTTATTACAGAATAATTCTCATTTTTTTTATACACGAACAAGTTCATATCACTTGAAATCCTGCAAAATATTTTGCAGGCTTAAGGAAAACCTCCTGGCTTGCGATGGACTGTAAAGAATATTACTGAAGAAAATATAACCAACATAAAAAATGTTTTTTTGAAGTGAAATACCGGCTCAACATTAAGAAACCGTTGTGTTCATTGGAAAGTTAGTGTCACACAGGGCTTCAGTTCATGGGCACAGGAATATGACAAAGAAATGAGACTATACTGATGTTTGACTTACAATTATAGAATCCTACAGCACAGAAGGAGGCTATTTGACCCATCGTACTTGTGCCAGCTCTTTGAAAGAGCTATCCATCAAGTCCCACTCCTCCGCTCTTTCCCCATAACCTTGCAATCTTTTTTCTTTTCAAGTAAAGGTATTATTGACTCTGCTTCTACCACCCTTTCTGGCAGTGCATTCCAGACATATCTACAATGTGATGCTGTAGACAATGATTTTGAATACTCACAGTTCACCAGTTTCACATTAAGCAGAAGATTGGCATTCAGCACAAATGTTAAGGGTTTAGGGCCTCCTTCCTCCAGTAGCAGCATAATCTGGCCCTGATTTGGATGCTCCTCCACTACATGACCTGTGCAATATCGGATGGATTATGGCCTGGGCCAATAGAAAAGTGCATACATATTTCCAAAAAATTGCGGAGCAGTTTGTGAAGCTTGTGGGGAATTGCGGAGGATCTGCTGGGGGAATTGCGAGGATTGGTTGGTGCTATTGAGGTATATTTTACTGCTACATTTTTTCACTTTATTGATAAAAACTAAACATAAGGAAATAACACATATTAGATTGTTGCAAAATAAAATATTAATTGCTTCTTTAACAAAAACTGGGTGGCAATTTTGAGGAGTGGGGGGCACACCAGCGAGGCTACAGGAGCTCACTACCTCCTAGCTCTCAGGGCCAGCATCGCACACAGACAGAGAGAGAGAGAGACACACACACTCAGAGACACAGCAGAGACACACATACACACACACTCGAGACACAGAGAAAGGCACACATGCTTAGACAACAACAACAACTTGGATTTATATAGCGCCCTCCACGCCGGACGGCATCTCAGAGCGCTTCACATAAACGGATCCCGGGGCCGAGCCAGGGGGAGGAAGGTGACCAAAGGCGCGATCGAAAAGGTCTTCAGCAGAGACCTGAAAATAGGAAGAGAGGGGGTGAGGCGAAGGGAGCGAGGAAGAGAATTCCAGAGCCTCGGGGCATAGCGGCTGAAGGCACGGCCGCCGAGGGTGGAGCGGAGGACTCGGGGGACGAAGAGGAGGCCAGACCAGGAGGAATGAAGGCAACAGTACTGTTTTGAGGAGAGAGGTCAGAGAGATAGGGGGGTGCAGAGGAGTGCAGGGACTTGAATACGAGGGGTGAGGATCTTGAAGTCGATCCTCTCTGGGATAGGCAGCCAGTGCAGTCTGGCAAGGACTGGGGTGATCGGAGAGCGGAGTTTCGTGCCGGTGAGAATGCGGGCGGCAGAGTTTTGAATGATTTGGATTTTATGAATGGTAGTGGAGGGGAGACCGGCGAGGAGGGCGTTAAGAGTAGTCCAGCCGAGAGGTGACAAAGGCAGGGACCAGAGTTTCAGCAGCTTTTGGAGTGTGGTTTTGGCAGATGAAACAGAGAAAGACACATACACTCACAGAGACACACACACACACACACACACACAAACGTTCACACAGAGACACTCATAAACACACACACATAGCGACATGGGCACTCACAGAGACATACATACAGACAATCACAACAAGCATTTACTGCTTGCGCCGCACTGCGCATGTGCGTCTGGACTCTCTCCGCCACGGTGACGTCTGGTAAACAGCGCAAGTGGCCCACGGGCCAGAAAATACATTACGGCGGGTTTGTAGCAGGCGAGGGCTGTCGTGGCCAGAAAATGCGGAAAAGGTGCGGACGCACTTTTCTATTGGCCCAGATTATGGCCCAGATTATGGCCCAGATTATGGTCCAGATTATGGCCCATGTTAAAGGTTATGAACAGCTACAAAATCCACAAAGGCCTTGATTACAATGTATCAAATCTCACAGAATTACCTTCTTGTTCTCCTATTGTTATGACAACAGGAGGCAATCCATGTTCACCATCTGGAATAAGGCTGGTGACTTTAGTGACAGACTTCCCTACAGTAGCCAATAGTCTGTGGTCTATAGGGCCAGTAAAGTCAGGCTTGAAATCTTCTGCTGGATTCGGTGGAAATGCCTTTGGATCAGTCCTCAATTCACTCACTTGGCTTTGGACATCATAGGAAGGTACCTCGTCGACTGGGCTACTAAAGGGAGGCTTCAAACAACAAAGAAAACACTTAAAGCCCTAAAATGTTTAAATTCTAAAATTCTCAAAGTATTAAATAATATCTGGAACGAGTTGAAGATAAGGCAAGAATTAAAATCAGCCGTAATTCCAAAAGTGGTTTTAGAAAATTTCAGGAAAACAGCAGCAGTAATTTGCTGTTATGCAAGAATAATAATCCTTGGTTTGATATAGCGCCTTATCATGTCATTGAGACATCTCAAAGCACTTCACAGAATATACTGTAAAGTGAATTGAGTGTATACTTTGTGAGCAAAACGTAGCAGCCAATTGCGTATGGCAGTGTCCCACAAACAGTTGTGGATTGAGTGACCAAATTATTACCTTTTTTTTAAAAAGGGATTATTACCCCGGAAAAGTGATGCGACAATCGACTAAAACCAGATTCCTACTTACTACTAAATAAATAGAGGAGTGTGGAGTAAGGAAACTCTCCTAAGGTTTCGTCCAGCCCGGAAATCAAACCTGTGTCCTCTCACTTGCGAGGTGAGTGCTCTAACCAACTCACTAGAGGACTCCACAATGTATTAAAATAGACAGGAAGAAATTTACACAATAACTTTTGACCACTAGCAATTGGTTCAGGAAAAGACCATTTAGTTAACCAGTCAATATTTGCATCAATTGCCATACCGATTTTGGTTCATGTGCTATTGGACTTGTAGGGCTTGAATCTTGTGATGTTCTCTTGGCTATAATAGCTGCCGAAGTTGCTGTCAATTTTTCGGTGTCTGCCACCTCGCCATTTGGTAAAATGCCATCAGCAAACCATACCCTTTTGTGCTCTCTAGGATTGGTGCCTGTGGAAGGAGGAACACGCTCTAAAATTACCAGAGATAATCACAATCAGACATCTGCAACGTCAAATCTATAGTGATCATGTAAATACAATCGAGAATTGAAGCCTGATTGACAATACAAAAAACAAGAACATAGTAAACAGCTCTTTACATTTAGAAATGGCACTTTCACACATGTGACATCAAGTACAAAAGCTCACATCAATAGAGAAGATAAAGTGTGAAAAGAGCAACCAAAATTTGAAGGACAGACAAACATTATAAATTAATTGCATGTAAATGATAAGACTCTTTCACTATCTGAAATACATAGATCTTTTTAGACACCAAAATACAAATGTAATAGTTTCCTCAGTTTTTAATGTGCGTAAAGGGGAGAGTTATGATTGGTGACGCTGAGCAACTGACAACTTTTGCCACCTCTTTGTGAGACTTGAGATACAAATTAGTAAATTTATTGTAACAATATACTGTATTGATATTCTCAAGGTGAAACAAGAACATTCAATTCAAGAATCAGACTGGTCACATACATGCAATTTATGTCAGCCTGCTTGCATACTGTTTAATGTGTCTGTACGTTCATGTGCAATGACTGCAAGAGTCAGTCTGTATTGAATGCAAAAGGCAGTTTGATAATATATTGCTATGTAAGCCGCCTGCGCACATTCATTCAATGCAAAACTCAGTCTAGTCGGATACAATCAGTGCTGTAACGGAACAAAGGATGGTGATGGAGCAAGAGTGCAGTAACTCCCCACTCTAATCTCACTTTTCCAGCAAATCCAAAGAAAGAAATTAAAACAGAAAAAGGTTAAAGCAGGTGGAAGAGTCACTCTCGCACTCTTCCCTGCGCTCTTGGCAGAAATCTGGGAGTACTTCATCCATCTGCTTTCTTGGCTGAGACTGAAGAACAGCGCAAGGAGAGCACAAAAAAGGGGGAGAAAATAAAAACAGAAGATGCTTCAAATGCGGAGCAAGATAGTCACCATCTCTAAGAGGAAGATAGATACCGTTTCAGGTACATCATCAGAACAGGATCATGTCACAAGTTTGTTTACTTTATTTCACCCATAAAATATAGTCAATTCATTTTACATTATATTCTGTGAAGTGCTTTGAGACGTCTCGAAGACGTGATATGACACTATGCCAAATGCAAAGATTATTAATATTACAAGTTTCTTAAAATATGAAGTGGGACGGGAAAGCTTAATAGGAAGGGAGAGACTTTAGTGTTCCTTTTTGGATCCAAATCCTGATAGTCTACATCGCAAGAAAGGGAAAAGGCTTTCAAACAAATCACTGCCCATAAAACTCCAAGTTGCACAAGTCTCCAAGCCTCCGAGTGAGGAAGTAATTCATCATTCATCTCATCTTTCCAATGCCTGTAAACAGTTTCACGATTGAGAAATCAGAGAAAGAGCCCACCTGCCATATTCTACAACAGCAATGTGCTGGAATAGCATTACTGCACTGCATTGCCACATTTACTGTTTCTTAAGCTGAGAAAGTAGCAGCAAACTATGCAATGTCATCAAATCATTGTAAAAAATTTCCATTGTTCTGGAAACCTACAGATGATACAGAGAGGGAGTGATGGAGTGAGAACTATGCAGGTTTCATGATAAACATTACCAGAAGTCTGTAAGACACCCATGGCAACCAGTGTGCCAACATGTCAACCAGCATGTAAAATACAGAAGAAGTTTGGTAATGAATACAAGGCAAATAGTTCAGTTAATCAACAACTGCATTTTTCACCTGAAGCTCAAGAGGACACTCCACACGTGTGTATTATTCTAAAGCGTCGTTTTTTGGGGAAATACTGTGTTGCAAAACTCATATGGTTGCCATGACAGATGATAAAGGCCAGTGTGTTTGAAGTCACTGACAATGTTTACACTAAAGATTCAATTGATGCATCCTAATTGTTGCAAGTGATAAATGATTACAGTTGGTTACCAGGAAATAACACATCAGCGTTAAAACAATCAACCACATTTCTCAAACACGATCCTTTTTTCCCCACTTTGTTCTATCTGCCTCTGGATGTCAGCTTTGTTCCTGCTTTGCATTCTCTTTTCAAAATGATAATAAAGATAATAATCCTTGCATTTGATACAATGGTTTTCACATCTTCTAGACGTCTCAAAGCGCTTCACAGAATAGACTGTAAAGTGAATTGACTGTATATTTGTGGGCGAAATGTGGTAGCTAATTGCACACGGCAGTGTCCCAAAATAATGCATCATTTAAGAGCATTTGATCACTAAGCACATGAGAAGATTGCCCTTCCCCCTCCACTTTAACACTCAGATGGAAAATGCAATATTCACAAACCAGAAGTTGAGTTATCAGCCACTTCCGGTTTGTGAGCGAGGTTGGCTTTTTGTTTTGGAGCTGTTTCTTGGTCACGAAAGGGGCAAAACCTCTTGATAAAAGATTAAAAACACTTTCCAAAGAGTATGGCTCCATAGATGCCAGTCCCTAAGCCACTATGTTTAATTAACAGTTAATGATTTCTCTAACTCTTTTTCCAACCTGAAACGAGCAGTGTCAATCATATTTCTAAACCTGCAAGGTTAGGAAAGAGCACATTGTAGGCTGGAGTAATAATAATAATAATTCCTGTATTTGATATAGCGTTTTTCACGTCTTCTAGAAGCCTCAAAGCGCTTCACAGAATATACTGTAAAGTGAATTGACTGTATATTTATGGACGAAACGCAGCAGCCAATTGTGCACAGCAGTAGGATATGATAGCAAGTTACACCTGCGAGAATATATTTAAGTGATTTAAGGAAAACCTATACATTCATGGCCATTTTCAGATATTTGAATGTTCGTTGGGTCAGTAAGAATTTGATGTTCCTTCATAAAATAACCTGATGACCACTGGCATTTGACATGGGTGCAACATAATCTTGGGAAAGGAGGCTTCACATCACCAGCAGTTTGCAATAATAATGGAAGCCAGTGATAACAGTATAGCAGAAGCAACAGGTGCAATATAGATATCATGCACTAGTTACACAGTGCTCTGCTCAGGCAGTATCTACAGTACTGCATACAGTTCTGGCCGTGGCAACATGAGGGGACTGCCCAGACCCTGGAAGCAGTGCAGAGGAGAGCAGCAAGGATGAACCGCAGAGTTAGAGGAATGAGCTATGAACTACAGTTATACAAGCTAAGGCTCTTCAGTCTTGAAGGGAATCATCTGAGTGTACCTCACAGAGGTGCATAACATTTTAAAAGGGATTTAAAAAGTAAACCCTGAACAAAACAGTAGAAGAGGACATAGGAATTAGAGTTACCAAGGGCAATTTTAGGACAAGCACTGGGAGGTTTACTCAAAGGTAATTAACCAGAATAGGTTGCAGGTAAAGGTGGTTGAGGCCAGGACACTGGACTCATTTAAAAACAGCCTGATGCTGGAATGGGAAGGACAGTACAGTGCTCTGGAGGGATTAGACCAAAGGGCTTTCTTGACCCAAATTAATCTTGTAAACAGAAGCCATGGTTGCAGCACGACAGTGGGTGCAGTGTAATATAGAACAGTGGGTGCAGAATAAGAAGTTAGTGCAGAGGAAAATGACTAAACTTAAACATCAGGTGCTCCCCTTATCAAATGTTACAAAGCAGCTGATGACCCCAAAAGATCAAAAGCACACACAAGTTTCTGGAGCAGAGACACCAACAAGGCAAATAATTGTAGGATTAATCTATAGCCAAGTCAAATAATTTTAGCAGTAATCTACAGTCCATTCTACATATATTTCTCTTCAATTAATACATTTGCTCACGCAATATAGTGCCTACTAGACAAACTAAGTGAATCTATTAGAACTAAAACAGAGTCACGATACCTGTGCTTTCATTTCCTGGGTGTTTTAGTACCGAAGTGGGTACCATGACAGTGAGGGGAGGGGAGGCGAGGGTGCCAGATGCCTGAGCTTGCTGCAGAGGTGGAACTGTGGAACAATATTCTGATGGGATATTAGGGTTAGGGCTTGGACCAGTTGGGCTCATCATTGTCTTAAATGCTTGAGCTGCAAAAGACCAAACAAAAGGCGCCGGTTTATGAACAAGTTATAATAATCCTTGCATTTGATATAGCGCCTCATAACGTCTTTGAGACATCTCAAAGCGCTTGACAGAATATACTGTAAAGTGAATTGACTGTGTATTTTGTGGACGAAACGCGGCAGCCAATTGCGCACAGCAGTGTCCTACAAACAGTCGTGGATGGAGTTGTGGATAAATATTTTTATTTATTTATTCTCAAACAACAACAACAAAATTACATTTCTATAGCACCTTTCATGTCGGGAGGACGTCCCAAGGCGTAGTGTTTCGGAACCGAGCAGAGGGTTGGGATTGGGGAGTTTGGGGGGGGAAGGAGGGTGACCAAAGTCATGGTCGAAAAGGAGGGTCTTGAGATGGGTCTTGAAGGAGGCAAGGGACTTTTCAAAGTCACAACTGAAGATGCTCCAATCATCATTCACAGAAATCCAGCAAGTCAATAACTTTTCCTAAAGTTTCAAAACTTTTCCTATTGATTGTAACAGGTCGTGAATTCAGAAGTGGTTTCAATTTAGGACAGGTCAGCTTTTAAGGTTCCACATTTACAGGTATGGAGCCAGGGGCAATAGTGCCAGACGATCTGCTCCCTCCTCCTCCCTCTTGCAAGTAACTTGCAGTAACCATGTGCCCATCACCCCGTTATTACCAGGCTCCACTGGTTAAGTCTACCAGCAGATCAACTTCAAGATCTTCATTCAAATTTTTCAATTCCCTCCAACCGTTGCCCCACTCTACCTCTTCAATCTGCTCCGCTCTCCCACCCATTCACTCTGCAAACTTCAGCCTCCCAAAACCCTCCACCTCGCACCCACCCTTCAAAACCCTTCTAAAAACCTACCTCATTGAACGTGCCTTCAGTTACAGCCCTCTTAACCTAACTCTAATTTCCACCTTGCTTAGGTTTCCACACAAGCTCTGTAAAAAATATTGAGATGTTATCCTATGTGAAAAGCAATATATATCTGCTAATGGTTGTTGTTGCGTTGTTTTTGAATCTCACAGGGTGGAAAGCGGGAGCAAAACAGAAAGAGAACTATATGAAGAAATGCAACAAAAAAAAGGGTTTAAGTCACTAAATCTTGCTAAGCCTTTTACAGCAGGTGGGATAAGAAGACAGGGACACATAGCTTCCACAATATTGTGGAGCAAGTGTGGCAATGCTCAGTAATTACTTTCTACCAGATTTTACTGGGAGGGGGGTGGGGGAGAGAATAGGAAGAGAGGTGCACGTCTTCCAAAGTATTGTGGAACGAGACGGAGTGGAGCTGAAGACACACAGCCATATACTCACATTCATACAAAAGACGATTTCAGTCTTTTGTACCCTACAGCTCACCATATTGGTGTGGTGCAATGTAGCTACCGCATCTCACTCATTTTCCTAAATCAGCATTTAAGTTTTGCAAAATAATCAGTTTGTTCCACTGAAAAATAGGAACAGGAAATTAAAGGCTTCTTTTTAAAAAAAATTGTTTCTAGAATCCACAATTCAAACATATTTTTCAGATTTTACACCAATATTTTCAACTATATTGCATTAAGATTGCACCGAAATTTTTTGTAAGAGTTTAAGCTAAAATGGATATCCTTAAGCCTTATTATACAGCTGTATAATCCGTGTTACACTTAAAATGTTAACTGATATCTTGGTAAAAGCTAACCTGTTTATACAGTTTAGAGTAAAACCACATTCTGCTTGAAAGCTCAAAAATGGTAACAGGTTTGGAATCCACCGTGTTCAGTGTGGTCAATACGCAGTCTAAGTGAGTCACGCACAGCACAAGGCTTCAGTCATGAGGGTGATTAACCTCTAAAGGGAAAGGAATGGTAATTGCGAGCCATGGTCTAAAACAGTGCTTATTTAAGTCGCTGCCAAAACACGTGGGTGCAGTTGGGATTTAAGAGGGCTTAAGCAAAACAGATCATCATGCGATTCAAAACAGAAAACAGGAACCAATTTGTGAACTTAACCCTTTAAGCACCCAAGCAACATTTCTATACTTAAAACAAGAGGTTAAGAATTTAAATTTCAACACAAAGCGCTGGAAACTTAACTTTTAAATTTGACTTAACAATAATAAACTGGGAATATCTTAATTCTATTTGAATTGAAAGATCTCCAATTACCCAAAGGGTTAAGAACTGTTTGATGTTAGTAAATTATCAAATAATCCAAGCTAAACACACACTTATTTTAATAGCAAAATCAACTTTGATTCTCATTTATGTTAAACACTGATCACAAATACTAAAATAGCCCAACTCAAACTGTACAAAGGCGATCAGAATTTAGGGCAGAGGAGAGATGAAGGTAAACTAATGCGTTACACCATTAATTTAATTGCAAATGATCATGCATCAGTCTGAGCGAAAACATGCTTAGTGCCACATGAAATGTGACTTTACAAATGTTTTAAATTTAAAGTAAAAATGGTTTACATCCAGAAGCAGACTGCACCTGACTATAAACTTATAAGTTTGGGCATTAATGGGAAAAGATAACTAACCTTTTAATACGCTTTCAGCGACTATGTTATACTCTCAAAGTTCAGTCGCATGGGCTCATCATTAGTGCTCATTGCACACTGCAAAAACACTCAGTTCAGATAGCCGCAAGATATTTTTTTTAAAAAGCACTTATTTATATAATGCAATCAGTGCAATCACTGGCTCGGTGCCACATTGTGCAGCACTAAGACAGCATATATCAAGCAAATAAATCGAGGAAAGCAAGTACCATATTGAACCAAAAACAGTTTAAAGGGTAAAGCATATTTAAGTGCAATTGAGGTGTGGGTATTTTACTTAACATTTACAACGTGTAGAACAGGGGAGGGGTAACTGGTTATACAACTGGCCTCACCTCACCAATGCAGCATCATTGCTTGTGCTCTGGCCAGGTGAAAAATTGTGATGAAAAGTCCCACTAGCTTGCTGTAACCTATCAAATATACCCAAGAGTGAAATCAGAAATATAATCTAAATATATAAACTTGTTTTTGATCACCCAGGTGTCTGACACATGGAGAAACCCATCTCCCAAGAATATTCAACACAGACACAGTTCCACATATGTATGGTACCTACACATGGAAATTTCCCTGTGTCTAGAATGGAACGAATTCTCTCTCCCTGAAGGCACTCACCCTGCTTACTTAATTTCAGATAATATTAGGCACAGGTTGGCCACAGTCAATGCATGGGGACCCCAGAGTATGTGGTGCTGATGAAGTTTAACCTACTAAAATCACAAAGTTTTTCATTGAAAGCGCCGTCTTGTAAGCTTCCTACTGATTGTCCAGCTAGGATGACCCTGTTATGCCTTTGGCTTGCAGGGTTACCAGGAGCCAAGTGGGAATAATCTCTGCTCCCAATGACCAGTCTGCCCCTCTAAGTTCCGCCGATAAACCAGGCTGGCTGATCTGTCATCAACGGTGCCTTAGTTCTGCAGGTCTGCTTGGCTCAGGAATGGACTACCGAGACTACCACAGACGGCTGAATCTAGTATCTGCGCAAATGCTTTCAAAACACCAGCTGGGAATGCCTGGGGTAAAGATTAATTGTTATGAAAATATTATTTATGAAAGCAATGGATACATTTATTTACTCAAAGTTTCCAGTGACCATGCATAGAATTTATCACTACAAATTTTAAATAATATTTTGGACTATTTTACAAGTAGCTTTAGATTTGACTGAAGACGGCTGTGATAGTACCCTACCAATGTACACAAAACCACTCCCCCGCCACACTGCTGTTAAAGAGATATTTTAGAACATAATAAGCAAAACAGGCCATTAGACCACATTGATAAACCACAGTCAGATTTGTTCCACCTCTAGAAGTACCATTTAAATAACGTTCTCGATAAGCACCAGTGCACAGATCAAAAAACAATTAGGTATCACATTTTATACCTTAAACTCGATAACTAATGAGCAGTGGCACAGTAACCCCATGACTTTTGTAATACCTAAAAAGTGAAGGAAAACCACAGACATAAAACCTATTCCCTTTTAACTGAAGATTCACCCTATTGGAGGTGAGGGCTAATAAGCTCAGCTCATGGTATTAATCCAAATTAGCACAATTCGCCTGTTGCTATTTCTTACACCCAGGGATATAAAGCAATTGTTTCCTCGGGTCACACAAGGCTCCTAAGTGGACAGATTGCCTACTCTTTGTATATTTAACAAACTTCTTTACTCAACAGGAAAGGTATCCAGGTGACAACAGTAATATTACTTTACAGTACGATAAAAGCATTGAGGATGGTTAATAATTTTAAGGCTAATTTCTTCCTCCTCTCTCTCCACTGCATATCCTTGCCAATGAAAACAACCAGATAAGTAAAGAAAGATCTTTGCACAAGTGCTGATTCCAATACTTACCTGAAACTCTTGAGAACTTGTTAAGGGGTAATGTCAACTTAACCTGCTAATTTTCACCTTGGTTACAGAGCTATTCTCCGAATTCTGGAACGAAGACCCCACAGATTAATCTAACCGGGATCAGCTGTTTATAAAGCACTTCAAAGTAGTCCTTTATGTGAAAGACACTAGATAAATGCAAGTTGTTGTAAAATATAGTAGCACATTTGTTTGGATTATTTGCGCTTCAAAAATAACACATTCCTTAAGGGCTTTCACATCACAAGATGAGTTCAGATAAAGAAGGTCCATTTAATCTCATCCATCCAAAATACCAACCCTACTGTCTTATTACAGTATCGAGTCATTTTTTAAACAAATCCAGGATCCAGTATTCAAACCACTGCCTGTTAATCCATTCTAGTTATTTAATTTTTGAAGCGTAGAATGTTACAGTGCAAAACCAGACTATTCAGCTCAGTATTCCACTCGTTTGCTCCCCATACCCTTTATTGTTACTCTATTCAAGCACTTTATATACAGCAGAACACTACATATCCACATGCCAACTGTGCAAGCGTCCCCTTATCTGCAGCAGGCTCCAGAGCAGAAGAGAAGTGAAGATGCAAGGCTGACAAAAAAGGTGATTTAGCTGAGCAGCAGGACTGTGAACCAGGAGTGAGACACAAGTTCTACACTATTATGTAGAGACAGAAAGAGTCACAGAGAGACAAACAGAGAGAGAGAAAGTAAGGGTCAGAAAGTGAGAAAGAGAAAGAAAGTCAGAGAAAAAGTCAGAAAGGTAAATGACCAAAGTTTTATCTGTAAAACTCCTGATAAGACAAAAATGTTTGGTTAACGCTACAAACAGCTTGTATTTTCCACAACAGTCCGGCCGGTTGCAGCACTGCTTCATATCCACAATACAATGCTGTAACAGGATAGGGCGGAGGCCCTCCAATAGGCCAGAGGTCTCTGCGACACAAATATGAAGGGAGGCCGTGGCGTGGTCCTCCAATAGACCCTGTGATGCATCTGAGCATGAGTGCCCAACCTCCACCGAGGGCCCACACCAGTCACGCACCCCCTTGTGGCCCGGGAGGACCTAACTACCCTCTCCGGATAACTAGTCACTGAGCCCCTTTACCTTGGAGTGACAAGTTATCAGGAGTTTATTGTAGACAAGTGTTGCATCATTTCTGATGTAACATCAGGAATTGATATAAAAAAACAATAAGTTACACTAGTGTACCTCCCACACCCATTGGCACTCTGTGTACAGTTCAAGTTTCAGAAGAAGGTAGAGCACCTACTGGGGACAGCTAGCACACCCTGTCCAACACAACTGAGAACTATTCAACAATATCGTCATGATTTCAAGATTTGTATCGTAAAGCAAGTATAACAAAAACAATTTACATTTATATAACAACTTTTACGGTTGCTACATAACTTCCCCAGCTAACTGGGAACCAAGGTGGGGGAGCTGAGGAAGGGTGGGGAGGCGGGTTAGAGAGTAACCAAAAGCACGGTCGAAAAGTGAAATAATAATAATCCTTGCATTTGATATCGCGCCTCATCACACAGTGTTACACATGATAAACTGTAAAGTGGATTGAACTATGTATTTTGTGGGTGAAAAGATGAGTCTGAAAGTAGATTTTGACCATCACCTTGCATATGGCACAAATGCTCAACGCTGTTAAGGTTCAATCTCTTTGGTTTGAATGGCAGTTTGGCTTGGCTGTTTGTGAGATATTGCTGTGCACAAATTGGGTGCCACTTGCGTCCACAAATTACAGTCAGTCCACTTTACAATATATCCGATGAAGCACTTTGAGACATCCTCCTGATGTGAAAGGTGCTGTACCAAAGGCAAGGAATATTATGATTATTATTAGGTGAGTGAGCTCACGTAAGAATCACTATCCAGGAGTAGGAAAGATGGAAATGCTCACTTGACTCAATAGTGGTCAGAGGTGTGAAAGCTGAACAAACCATCCATGTGCATTTTTTCTAGTCAGTAAATCCTGCAACAGCTTTTAGACATACATGTTTCTGATAAAAGCATTACATTTCAGGAAGGAGATTTAAAAGTAAGTTTCCTTTTGGATGGGGGAGGGGAGATACTTTATGTTCAAAGCATTCTACGGTATCCACTCAGATGGTGATGGCTTTCTTTAAGGAGAGTAAAGTACCAATATACAATTTGCTTTCAAAAGAAAATTTGATTTTGTTCTCATTCGGGTGAGACAGGTTAGTACTGACAAATATGTGCATTTTAGGCAACCTACCTTGCTATCAAGAATTTTCAGGTTAGATAATGAATGATTAGTTGCAGAGTAAAGCATCTTCTACTCTTCCCTCAGCAATCAATGTGCTTCTCAGACCCAGAACACTCCTCACCATAGCTAATGACTTATTGGAGAGAGACTGGCAGCATAGGGCCAGCATTTACAGTTGTTTCTGTGCTATGAGCCCATATGCAATAGGACTTGAGTTCAGAACTACCCAAACTAATCTCACATGAGCTCCGTATGGAGACTTCCTTTCACATAATATTAGTAGTTATATTTGGTACAGCCTTTCGTGTCAGAAGGACTCACTGTGCTTCACAGGATATACTGTAAAATGGAGCAGTGTTTTGTGAACCACATGGACCACAATGAAAACTCAGGGACTGACCTAGTGCAGCAGCCAGCTTTACAAAAAAGGAATCCATTTTCGTCATTGTAAAGATACAACTGAAGACTACTTTGTGAAAGAGAAAAGTGCTTACCTTTGTGTATGGTCTCAAAGCAGACAACACAAACCCGAGCTTCTTTGTTTTCCAAGTACTTGAGTTTACACTTTTGATTACAACAGCCAGTACAGAACACCTAGAAAAATGACTGTATCAGTGCCACTGTTAACATGAGTGATATATTAAACAGCACAAAGAAAACCTATATTTCTATTATACTGGTACAATAATTACTTGCCAAAAAAATAAACCTCAGTGATCAATCAGAAAGGGAAATGTTACAAAGGAAACCCAGGTAATCACAGCGTCGTCAGAAAGAATCAATCTTCAACTTTAGGTATTACTATAAATGTAGTCTTTCCGTAAAGAATTGTACATCAAAATAGATGTATCGATTATATTTTGAATATTTTGCATTGCAACTTTTTTTTAAAAAAGCTGGTAATTTAATATTTTAAGTGGTTGAATAAAATCAGCCACATCTGCCCACCCCTGACTGTCCAGCGCCTTGGGACGTCCTCCCAACGTGAAAGGCACTCTATAAATGTAATTTTGTTCTTGTTGTGTTATAGAAATACAGGAACAGGAGTAGGCCATTCAGCCCCTCAAGCCTGTTCTGTCATTCTATTAGATCATGACTAATTCGTACCTGAACTCCAATTATCTGTCTTTGCTCCCTATCCCTTGATACCCATACCTAAAAATAAATCTATCCACCTCAGTCTTTTTTGCGCATTTTTTCACGCAATTTCCACTTGTGTGAAAAAATGGTTCCTGATTTCGCTCCTAAATGGCCTAGCTTAAATTAAGATTATGCCCCCTTGTTCTGGATTCCCTCGCCAGAGGAAATAGTTTCTTTGTAGTTACCCTATCGAATCTCTTTATTATTTTAAACACCTCAATCAGATCACCCCTCAATCTTCTAAACTCAAGGGAATACAGACCAAGGTTATGCAACCTGTCCTCATAATTTAACCCCGGTATAATTTTGGTGACAACTTCTGAAAAAAACAAGAGATTCCACAAAATCACGCAGGTTCACTAATTTATTGATAACCAAATAAAAATGAGTATCAGGATTTTTTTTTTTGAAAATCTGAGAAGGTATAGATTGGTTATAATGGTGGTGAAGGAGAGAATTATTAAAAACCATAAACATAAATTTTGTAAGCAAATATGTTGTCAGAGCAATTAACTTGACTGTCCCACTGCATTAAATACTCACTTTCCCACACGCTCTACAGTGATGTCTCCGTCTTGTGAAAGTGAATCTAGCTTGGCATTTTGTGCAGTTTGGAGCTTTGGAATCAGGTATCCATTGTGGTTGGCTCTGGCCCAGTGCTGCTGCTTCCCTCATCAACTGTTCTGGTAAACACATTGTTTCTGCTGCATTTCCCTCACAATCGTCATTTGTTATGCAATCATAAGAAGGTCCAAACACTTGAGTCTCATCTTCTGTAATAATGCTGAAGCTGCAAGTGGGACTCAAAATTGAAGGGCTTTGGACTACATCAGCAACAGCACCTTTTGTGTCAATATACAGCTTTGAGTTGTTTGAAACATCCTCAGCATTGGTGGTACCTGGATCACTGAGTTCTGTAGTTGGCGTGATTCTGGGTGAGACATTCAGACGTTGTTTGGGTCTAGCGCCTCCAAAATTAACTTGCTTGTGAACTGGGCTATAGTCGGCCACTTGACCAGAGTCACTTGAGGACAATTTCTGATTGTTTATATTCCTGGCTGCCACATTAGCTGTAGATGCCCCAGACACTGTATCATTTACAGCAGGGCTTATCACACCATTTTCTGCTGGAGATAAAGTATTCCCAATATCTAATGCCAATCTCCCTTTTTCATGTTCAGCTGATTTAGGAGCAGTCTCTACCTGGGGATGCAGACTTATACAACTCGAATCAGTGGTTTTAGGAAGACTGAAAGAAACACCTGGCTCAAGTGAACCACTTCGGCCTAAGTTTAGCTCTAAAAAGCCATTAACTGAAGGCTCTACCGCAGACTCATTCATATCACTTGCTCCATTAAGAATGCATCAAGCTCGGAATCACTAACCATATCGGTTATATCACCAAGCCCATCTTTAAGGATGTTATTAAGTGAAAAGTCAATTGGAAAATCTTCGTGATTAGTTAAAGCAGGAGTCGTCATGGTCTCCACGTCACCTGTGTCAGTCAATATTTCCTCAAATGGATTAATTGGCATGTTTACAACATCATCATCACCTGAATAATTTTGAGTTCTTTCGTGCTGTTCTCCCTCTGTGTCACAAAATGCTTCTGCCCTTTCCTCGGGCTTCTCATCACTCTCCAAACCTATACTCTCCTCAGGAGAGATATCTCCAGTGTGCACTAGATCACAATCGATATCATCCATAAATGGCAAATCTCGATCCTGCGACTCGGAGCTCAAGTGAACAGCTTTCCCATTCACTGTGCACACATTTGTACCATTGTCCACTATTTCAATTACTTCCTTTTGAGGTGGGTAAAGCTGTGAATCCTGCTCTGGAACTAAACAATTTCGTGAATAATGGGCTTCAGTGGATTTGGTAGAATTATTCACGCAAACTTCTGTTTTTTTATGGTCTTTTGTTAATCCAGCATTGCACGTATATCTTACTTTTAAAAGTTCTTTTTCAACATGTAACCTTGGATCAATCTCCTCGGGCTCACTGGCTGTAGCAGCGGTCGTGTTGCTCAACTCTGTTCCCGTGGCTGCGTTGGCCCAACTGCAATCCTCCAAGCTCTCGCTTTGGTCGGTGCTGTCATCATCTTCAGTCGAGCCTGTAGCTACAAAATTGTTCTCTTTGGTTAACTCTGAGACAGTTGACAACTCTTTAGTACAGTCAGGCTCAGTCAACTGCTCCCCAAAATGTCCCCCTACGTTTTCAGGCCCCTCCCCCTCTTGAGGCCCAGTTTCCTTGAATGCATTCTCCTGCTGGAAACCATTAGCACATTCAGTGTCTCTTGTTCTAGCATTAACATTTTGTACTTGCTGCGGATCAAGCTCTGTCCCATTTGGAAATGATATATCCAGCTCCAACAGGCTCGTAATTCCCAAACTCCCTCCTGCAGAACATTCCAATCCAAGGTCACCAACAGGAACTGGTGGTGAGGTCCGATCAAAGTCGATCAACAGTGAACCAGTGGATTGGTTCTCAATGGGCTTAACATCCGGTTCCATGTCAGCCTCATGGCTGTGTGTTTCATGGGTTACACTTTCAGTGTCACTGATTAGGTCACAGAGGGATCCATTGCCTCTGCCGTGACTCAACTCATTTGGATCAATGGAAGCTCTTCCGTCAACAGTAGACAACAGGTCCAATCCTGTCAAAGGCTTTTCTGACTGTGCCAATGCTGCAGTCTCCCAATGGTCACATAGTGACAATGAATCTGATCCACGTTGAGTATCAGAGGAGTGGACGCTGATTGTTGGCTGTGCAGTGGCTTCTGAAAGGTCTGTAAGGGTTTTGGAAGTTGAATGAAGAGATGAACAGTCCAAAGATATACGCCCTCCTGCATTTGTCTTACAGAAATCATTTTCATCTAAAAAAAAAGGAATTCCGTAAGTTTGTAAAAATCCAAGCCTTCAAAGTATATTCAACTTTTATAGCTATTCTCTGATAAGAAGAAATGAGGATCCTTTAACAAATTAAAAGTAACAACTGCACTGACTGAGCAAACTGAAGAAATGTTCATTTGGGCATTTTATTTTTATATGACTATTTAACAAAAAACAGAACATCAATAGATGAACTGACTTTATAGAAAAATATGCATTGTTATTAGGTAATGTGTACACTTGACAAAGCACTAAAGTTTTTCAATGGAATTGTAGTTAATTAAAAATGCTATGACACAAAAAAATTAGAAGATGTGTATTGAAGCAATTCAGACATAATAGGTCACCAATTTTGGCTTGTCTAATAAAAACCTTTGAAAAACAGATATTCAGCCACTCATTAATAAAAATGACATGTTTAGCTCTTCTGATTCAGATGGTAAAAGCACTGAGTAGTGTGGCTTCTTTATCCCATTGGTCAAGTAAACCCCACTCTTAAGTCAATTTAGATTCACATATAAATAGCTACTTTAGCACGGGTTAACAATAATTGTTGCATTTAATTTTTCTTGCATTTGATATAGCACCTTATCACATCATCAAAATGTCTCAAAGTTCTTCACAGAATTTTACAACTCATTTGTGTCCCTGTAACTATGTTATTTGTAGGTCAACAACATCAGAGGTTGCTCGCACCTGACCTGTCATAACAACCACTACCTTCAGGAAGGAAGAGGATAAAGGAGAGCAAAAATGAGTAGATGAAAGAAACATTTAACTCATTTACAAAACATCTAAAATTGAATTGAAGTGGGAGGGAGGGAAGAGAAAGATCGATTTTGCATTTTTATGGCTCCACAACATCTCAAATTGCTTCACGGGTAATTGCTGTCAAACATGGCAGCCAATTTGTGCCAATCATGGTCTCACAACCATAAATGAGGTGAATGCCCAATTATACTTATTAACAACAACAACTTGCATTTGTACAGCAACCCTCACTCTGCGGAGCAAGTCACAGAGCCAGAGGGGTAGGGGGAAACCGGAGGAATGGCTCTTCCCTCTAATAAGGGGGTCCAAAATAAGGGAATATAATCATAAAATTAGAGTTGGGATAGTTAGAAGTGAGATCAGAATTTTTTTTCTGACAGAAGGTTGTAAAAATGTTGAATGCAAGGCCATCGATGCAGAATCGATAGAATTTATATTTAAATTCCTTTCACCTCTGGAAGATGTCTCGAAGTTCTTTTCACTATACCACTGGTATAGCTGACTCAACGGGCTGAATGGCCCCTTCGTATTCTCATGCTCCTACTGGAGGGATATTGGTCAAGACACTGGGAGAAATTCTCTCTACGTTTTGAACAATGTCATGGGATTGATACCATCAACCTAAGAACAGGAAGACTTTCTAACAAAAGGAAAATTAGAACCAACCTGGATTTTGCTCAAAATCATCGAGTAATTTGTCCAAGTCACAGACTGCTGCTTTGAAATAATTGTCCATTCTGGGCTTTGTCTAAGACTTTTGAAGCTCCTTCCTCCTGTAAGAGTAAATAAACGTTTTTTAATGGATCAAATTACTTCATTTAACAAGAACTATTGAATTAAGTCAGATCACACAGTCAACATATGACCAGACGCTACTACATAAAAGACTGGTTTAAACCAGAAAAAAAAAGGTTTATCTCAGAAGAGAAACAAGCAGGAAACTGACCAATACAACAGAGTCTAAGACGACTGAGAAATCTGCTGATCTTGTCAACCATGCATGTTTGGCCCCATGCAGCAAATACTTGTATCATTAGGAACATCCTTGAAATAAAGTACACTACAGGGCAAACACATGGCGGGGGAGATGGAAGGGAAGGGACGCTCACCAACAAAACGCCTTCCAAGAATACGTCCTCATCAATCACATGCTTGACTGCAGGAATGCTTGAACATTGTTTCCACAAGTCACAGTGGACTTCGGCATTTGAGTCTCTGCAAACCGAGCATATGACAGCCGAACTCTGAAATTAAAAGTACAATAAATCCAGTACATCTGTTCAACAATGGCCATTTGCACATTAAGAATGAAGGTACTGAACATGAAATAGTTTAAAGAGCGCTGAGAAAAGTAAAATGGAAGAGAACACATGAATAACAACAACAAAATTACATTTGTATAGCGCCTTTCATCTCGGGAGGACGTCCCAAGGAACTCAAGGAATATGGCGCAAAAACAACTACAAACAATATTTGATTGATAATGGAGCAAATTTGTAAGGTAAACTGACTAATCCTTGCATTTGATATAGTGCCTTATCACATTGTCAAGATGTCTCAAAGCGTTTAACAGAATATACTGTTAAGTGGATTGACTGTGTAATTTGTGGGCAAACTGCATTTTTTTGCACAGCAATGTTCCACAAACAGCCATGGAGTGAGTGATTAATTTTATTTAGGGGATTTACTGGTCAGGACACCGGGCGAAACTCCCTTCCCTTTTCAAATAGTGCCACTGGATGTTTAACATCCACCTGATCGCTTCGGTTAAACGGCACCAACATCCATGACAAGCGGATGATAGAATCCAATTTCGAAAGGACATAATTTAAGGAGCAAACTACTCAATTTACAGCAAATCAAAAAATACATGGTCCCAACTCAGTCCCAAGACCAATGTTATTTCATATTTTGAAACGCACTGGCAAATATCCATGTGTTGATAGCGTAGAAGTGTGGAACTCTTCTGCATGTTGATGGATTTCGCTATGTCACACTCAACTAACAGAAAAGTATTTTAAAGCAAAGACAGACAATACATTGTAACTAAAATAACTTGTGTCACAATAACAAGATTACATTTGTTGCGCCTTTCACGTTTGGAGGACGTCCCAAGGCGCTGGACAGTGCACAGGATTTCAGACCCGAGCTGGGGTCAGGGGGGGGAAGGGAGGGGAGGGGAAGGGGGGTGACCGATGACATGGTCAAAGAGGAGGGTCTTGAGGCAGGACTTGAAGGAGGCTACGGAGGGGTTGAGGCGGAGGGACTGGGGGGTGGAATTCCAGTGGTTGGGGGCAGAGTGGCTGAAGGCTCTCCCGCCAATGGTGGACGGGTGGGGCGTGGGCCGTGACCGAGGGCAACAACAACAACAACAACAAGATTCCATTTATAGAGCGCCTTTCACGTCGGGGGGTGTTGGGGTGTGTGGGGGGTGTTGGTGTGTGGGTGGTGTTGAGGGGGGGTGTGGAGGGTGTTGGTGTGGGGGGTGTTGGGGTGTGGGGTTGTGTGGGGGGTGTTGGGGTGTGTGGGGGTCCCGGTGTTGGGGGGTGTTGGGGTGTGTGGGGGGTGTGACGGGGGTGTGGGGGGGGTGTGAGGGGGGTGGGGGGGTGTTGGGGTGTGGGGGTTGTGTGGGGTGTGGGTGTGTGGGGGTGTTGGAGTGTGTGGGGGGTGTGGGGTGTTGGGGTGTGAGGGCTGTGGGTGCTGTTGGGGTGTGTGGGGGTGTGTTGGAGTGTGTTGGTGTGGGGTGTGTGGGGAGTGTTGGTGTGGGGGTGAGGGCTGTGGGTGCTGTTGGGGTGTGTTGGTGAGGGCTGTGGGTGGTGTTGTGTGTGAGGGCTGTGTTGGTGTTGGGGCTGTGGGGGGTGTGTTGGGGTGTGGGGGGTGTTGGGGTGTGTGGGGGCTGTTGGTGTTGGTGTGGGGGGTGTTGGGGTGTGTGGGGGCTGTTGGTGTTGGTGTGGGGGGTGTTGGGGTGTGTGGGGGCTGTTGGTGTTGGGGTGTGGGTGGTGTTGGGGTGTGAGGGCTGTGTTGGGGTGTGTTGGTGTTGGGGCTGTTGGTGTGGGGGGTGTTGGGGTGTGGGTGGTGTTGGGGTGTGAGGGCTGTGGGTGGTGTTGGTGTTGGTGTTGGGGTGTTGGGTGGTGTTGGGGTGTGAGGGCTGTGGGTGGTGTTGGTGTTGGTGTTGGTGTGGGGGGTGTTGGGGTGTGTGGGGGCTGTTGGGGTGTGAGGGCTGTGGGTGTGTTGGTGTTGGTGTTGGGTGGTGTTGGGGTGTGTGGGGGGTGTTGGGGTGTGAGGGCTGTGGGGTGTGTTGGTGTTGGTGTTGGTGTTGGGGTGTGAGGGCTGTGGGTGGTGTTGGTGTTGGTGTTGGGGGTGTGGGCTGTGGGTGGTGTTGGTGTTGGTGTTGGGGTGTGAGGGCTGTGTTGGGCTGTGTTGGGGGCTGTTGGTGTTGGGGTGTGAGGGCTGTGGGTGGTGTTGGTGTTGGTGTTGGGTGGTGTTGGGGTGTGAGGGCTGTGTTGGGCTGTGTTGGGGGCTGTTGGTGTTGGGGTGTGAGGGCTGTGGGTGGTGTTGGTGTTGGTGTTGGGGTGTTGGGTGGTGTTGGGGGACCCTCTGTTGTGCCAATTCGCTGCTGTGTTTCACCACAAAATATACAATCGTCACTTCACAGTGTGTTCTATGAGGAGCGTTGAGGAGTCTCGAGGACGTGATGTGGAGCTTTACTATTACTGTTATTACTATTACTGTTATTACTAAGAGAGGCCGAGGCCCAGCGCTCGGGCTCTGGATTATCGGTTTCCTCAGAGCCCTCAGACCCCCACAGACTGAGGCTGAGGCTGAGGTTGGCCGCTCCCTCCCTCCCTCCCGCTGTAGGGCCGAGGCTCGGGCCCGGGGCTCGGGGCCGGGGGGGGGCTCGGGGGGGGGCTCGGGGCTCGGGGCCGGGGGGGGGGCTCGGGGGGGGGCTCGGGGCTCGGGGCCGGGTGGGGGGGGGGGCGGTGGCTCGGGGCCGGGGGGGGGGGGGGCGGCTGTGAGCTGCTCAGCCCGAGGTCGGGGCCCGGGGTCCGGTTGTTGGGGACTCACTACTCACCCAACACTCATCGCCGACCTCAACCGCCGACTCCGCTCTCACCGCACTCCCCGCGGGGCCTCGAGAGGCCCAACTACTGCTGCGGACTTACACCGCACACACACAGCGCCACCAGGCGGCAGCCAACGGCACCGCACCCCCCCCCACACACACACAGCGCCACCAGGCGGCAGCCAACGGCACCGCACCCCCCACACACACAGCGCCACCAGGCGGCAGCCAACGGCACCGCACCCCCCACACACACACCCCACACACACACACACACACACAGCGCCACCAGGCGGCAGCCAACGGCACCGCACCCCCACAGCGCCACAGGCGGCAGCCAACGGCACCGCACCCCCCCCCACACACAGACACTCCCCACCCACTAAGAATCTCTGGTTTCCAGGGGATACCAGACTCAATTGGTAGAATTATTAGGATTGGAAACTCCTATTTCACTGCAAAGGACTTTTATTTCTCTTAATAATAATAATAATAATCCTTGCATTTGATATAGCGCTTTTCACGTCGGGAGGACGTCCCAAAGCGCTTCACAGAACACACTGTAAAGTGAATTGACTGTATATTTGTGGGCGAACGCGGCAGCCAATTGCGCACAGCAATGTCCCACAAACAGTCGTGGATTGAAAATGACCAATTTATTATTGTTTTTGGTTTTTGGAGGGATTATTATTAGGCTCTGTGTGGAGTAAGGAAACTTGCCCAAGGTTTCACCCTGACCTGCCTGGAATTGACCCCAGGTCTCTCGCTTGCAAGGCTACAGGACTCAGACTTTCTCAATATATGTACATTTTATAAATAATATACTTGCATTTGCACTTCAAGACATTTTAAAGCCCGTCAGAATATACTGTAAAGTGAATTGATTGCATATTTTGTAGGTGAAACGCGGCAGCCAATTGCACACAGCAGTGTCCCGCAAAGTGGATTGAATGACCAATTTATTATTTTGTTTATTGGAAGGAATTATTACACCCGGATGAGCGATCTACCAATCAGCTAACAACTGGGTTCCTACTTACTGCGTGTGGAGTAAGGAAACTTGACGGTCATTTCACTCTGCCAGGAATCAAACTGAGCTCTCGCGCTTGCAAGGCAAGTGTTCCAACCACTCAGCGACAGGACTCCATGATGCCAATATATCATAAATAATCCTTTCACACTATCGCACAAGAGCGCACTATCAATTGAAACATCTTAAAGCACTTCACTTTGAGTGTTCTGTAAAATGTGGTGACAGTACGTGTGAAGGAGCTCATTTAATTTGTGCCCTTTGTTAAATAAATCTATTTCCCTATTAAAATGAACTTTACCCGTGTCACACAAGTAATACTGTTTTCAAAAGATTCGGAGTGATTTGGTGGCCAATGCTGAATCATATTCATTTAGTATTGATCATATTGCTGGATTAAGGAAAGATATAGATAATAACAGAAAACATGAAACAACAACATCACATTTATAGAGCGCCTTTCACATCGGGAGGACGTCCCAAGGTGTTGGACAGTCGGGTCAGGATCCGAGCATGGGGGAGGGTTGGGGCAGGGGTGAGGGAAGGCAGAGAGGTGGGAGGGTGCGACCGAAGGCACGATCGAAGAGAAGGGTCTTGAGACTGGCCTTGAAGGAGGCAAGGGAGGAAGCGAGGCGAAGAGACCATGGGATGGAGTTCCAGAGTGTGGGGGCAGAGAGGCTGAAAGCTCAGCCACCGATGGTAGGGTGAGTCGGGTGGGAGACATGGAGCAGCCCGAAGCCTGATGAACGGAGGGAGCGGGCAGGTTGGTAGGGAGTCAGCAGGTCAGAGAGGTAGGAGGGGGCAAGGCCATGGATGGCCTTAAAGATGAGGATGAGGATCTTGAACTCGATCCTCTGGGGGATGGGGAGCCAGTGGGGTCGGGCGAGGGTGGGAGTAATGGGGTCACGGAGCCTGGTGCGTAAGAGTACACGAGCTGCAGTTTTGGATGATCTGCAGCTTGTGAAGGGAAGAGTTGGGAAGGCCGATGAGGAGGGAGTTCCCTTAATCGAGCCTTGATGTGACAAATGCGTGGGTGAGGGTTTCGGCAGCCTGAGGGGTGAGGCAGCGGCGGAGTCTGGCAATGTTGTGGAGGTGGTGGTAGGCAGTGGCGCGGATGTGGAGGAGAAAGGACAGTTCAGGGTCAAACAAAATACCCAGGTTTCTGACTGGCTTAATGAGGTTAAGTGCGCAACCATGGAGGCTGATGCTGCCAGGGCCCGAGGTGTAGAGGCGCTGGCGTGAGCCAATCAGGAGGGCCTCGATCTTGCTTACGTTCAGCTGGAGAAAGTTGTCCCTCATCCAGGATGTCCCTTGATGTCGGACAAACAGTCAGTCAGGACGCCAGTAGTCCTGGAGTTGAGGGTGTAGACAGAGAGACAGAGTTGGGTGTCATCCGCATAAATGTGGAAATTTACCCCATGTCTGTGCATGATGTCACCAAAGGGGAGCATGTAGAGGGTGAAGAGAAGGGGACCGAGGACAGAGCCCTGAGGGACACCACACAAGATGATGCAGGGATTGGAGGAGAAGCCGTTAGCTGAGACGAAGTGGAGGCTGTGTGAAAGGTAGGACCTTTTGAAAAGGTCAATCCACTTTACAATATACCCTGTGAAGTGCTTTAAGACACCTTGATGATGTGATAAGGCTTTATATCAAAGGAAAGGTAGGAAAGCCTTTTTAAACATAACAATTGTTGGCAGTAAGAGATACAAAAAGTAACGGATACATTATTCAATTTTAATTAATTACATAATTAGAGGTATCTAATTCCTTCTGTCCACATGTGTTTACATGTTGCATTGTTGACCCCATTGTAAGATTTGAGTCGTGTTATCACTCAGATTTTACAGACAAGAGCATCACTTGACATTCCAGTCGCTAGAAGCATTGCTTTGATAAACCTACATTTGGTATAAGGATTCAATTTAGTTCCCTCTCATTTTACTGTAAAAAGGAAGTGACAATGAGGTGAAGCTTGTGGCACTTAGACAGGTTTACAAACAGTTCTTGAGGGTTCTGAGCTGCAGCTGAGATGCAGATTTCTGATGCTGCTCACAAGGGCTTGCAAGGAGTTTCTGGTATCTGCTATTCACCTAGCAAGGGCTCAAACCTTTGCTTGCCAGAAGTCTAACAATCAATTCCCAGCATTCGTTTACCTGATATATTCTGGTATACTGTATATTCTGGGACGTCCTCCTGACGTGAAAGGCACTTTACAAATGTAATTTGTTGTTGGTGGTGATGTATGAGGTTAGAGCCTCTGTTATAGAGACAGTTTTCTTCAAATAAATACATTTATCCATTGTGCCTTTTCCCTGCAGAGAGTTTCCAACTTGCAGTTGGAGTGACAAAATAATGTTATGCAAATCAAATCAAATGGCACTGAAGTGTTAAACAACATTCTACCACTAAACATTTGTACAACAACAGAATTGCACTTGGTGCATCACTCACATAAATTTTGAAAGTCAAATGAAAATGACCAGGTCTAAACTTGTTTCAGTGAGGAAAGAAAGCAAATTATACACCAACACCAAAGGCATTAAACGTGCCTCATGACTCTAAACATTGTACGTTGCAGGATATTAATGCAACTTAAACTGAAATGAGGAGAAATCAGGTTTTTAGGGATTCCCTTAATGTGATTTTTTTCTGCTACTCTATTAACAGATTCATCAAAAGACCCTGAAAGTTTTAATCCTCCTGTTTTGTCTCAGTGTCAACATTTTGTTCCATGAACTCTCTGCCACGATTCCTGTTGTCTCTTTCCTCCTGAAGAGTCTCTGTTGAACCTTCGACTGTTTGGGTATTGATCTGGGGCAAGGAATGTGTCCTTGAAATAGCCACACGTCTGCGTGGGTTTTGATCAACTAAACTGGAGCAGGTATTTCTGGACTTGTGTAACCTTTCTGGGCGCCGACAAGCTTTGCCACAGTCAGCAGCAGTAGTCTCTTTCCTGCAACCGTCCTGTTCTTTCAGTTGTTTAACATACTGTTCTTGTTCCTCCACTCTTCGGGCCAACATGTAACTAACCTTCCGCTGATGTGCCAGGGCCTCTTCCTTATCATTTAACTGCCAAAACAAAGAATAAATCCACATATACTCTGTTAGTAATTGGTAACTTACTGCATGAAAGCCAATGAGCACTTCAATGAATACTCTTCTGTGCTAACATATGTACAGTTAGCAAGATATTTGTGCAATAAAACATTGCATGTTATCAAGCCAATAATGGTATAAGAGGGGGCTTTACTTTATTAACACAAATCAAAGCCAAGTCCCATTGCTATGCAGCTTACTTCCATTGTAAATCGTGTTTTGATCTTGCACTCAATTTTATGCAAATGTAGCTCTTGCTGAATGTTCACTATCCAAGATACAAATGCTAAATAATAGCTAGGTGAATTAGAGAAACTTTTGTGAGAAACCCAAATGACTAAAGGAAAGTTTCCAGTGTACAACCTACAAACCAGGAAAGCCCCATGTTTGATCCCAGTGCTGAATAACTAGATTTATGCTAGAGCAATGGTGGGGCTGCAAAAATCGGTATCTGTAGTACTGAGCGAGGGGAGCAAGAGTGGACAGACAGAAAGAAACACAGCCAGGGTCTCGCTAGACGTTCACTCTTGCTAAAAATTGAGCATGCATGGAGTGGGTTAGGGCACCAACAATCTTATCTGTAATGCCCCTCAATGAGCAAACAGCCTTTTCAACACTAACTCCCTATCTAGCCTAACACATGCAGAATGGTTGCTATGGTAAGGTCCCTGCTAAGCGCACAGCTGATGTCTGTGGAACTGTAGCCCATCATGGCCATTGCCTTTAAGAGAAGGGACAAAAATATACATTCAGATATCTGATTTCAAAATAATTTTGAAATGGTTTTGAAAATGTCACTGAAGTAGCAGAACAACACAGTTGTATCTTCCTCCTGCTTATCAGTATCTTCTGTGTAGCAACCTTAGTAATATAACAATCCCACATCCAAGGTTTTTATTACCACGTAGAGTCCTGTAGCTCAGTGGTTAGAGCACTCGCTTTGCAAGCGAGAGACCTGAGTTCAATTCCAGGCAGGGCGAGACCTTGGGCAAGTTTCCTTACTCCACACACCTAACAATAATCCCTCCAAAACCAAAACCAATAATAAATTGGTCATTTTCAATCTACGACTGTTTGTGGGACATTGCTGTGCCGAATTGGCTGCCGCGTTCGCCCACAAATATACAGTCAATTCACTTTACAGTGTGTTCTGTGAAGCGCTTTGAGACGTCCTCCCGACGTGAAAAGTGCTATATCAAATGCAAGGATTATTATTATTATTATTACCAATGCTGGTATTTCTTTTCAAATGTTTAGAAAAAGAATGCTATATTATTTTTAAAAATTATTCATATATATATATAAATGTTTGATAGTAAAGTGCTAATAAAAGTGTTGTATGGGATCTATCACCAGGTTAAAGCAAGACAAACAATGTGGGGTATTAAACTGCAAATCATACAGACCAAGTCTACCAGTATCTTCAGAATCTCTTGTGGATCATCCAGTATTTCCAATTTCTTAATGTCTGCTGATGAATTGAGCAGCCCCTTCAACCTCTGCCCTAGAGAGCTATGAATTCCTGGCTTCTTATGAACAGGCTCTAGAAGGGATCAATAAAAATGTAACCATTACTCACCAGTAAAATCAATAATTCAGATTACATCTATGCACCAATCAATGTGATCCTGGGACACCAATCTGAGCTACAATTCAGTCGCAACTGTTGCACGACTGAACCTAATAGTGGATGCAGGTAAATTATCTACATATAAATTCAACATTTTACTATAAGTCATTGCTTTGTAACAAACCCACCACGACACCGATTGAGAATTTACCCTTTTCCATGAGTCGGTTCCATGTCAGTCCCTTCAAGAGGTCTTTCCTATGTAGCTCTGTCATCTTAGTCATTTGAAGAGTTTGATCATTTGTCCTCTTCAGCTGCTGCTCAAAGGCAATTCTAAAGGCATCAGACATCACATAGGCCTCCTCCTTTCGTTTTCTCTGGACATCAATCTAATGCAATGCAGTTCAGTATTATACATAAAGATATAGAACAAGTCACTTTCTACTGTACACTCAACAATTCACAATGGCACCAGCAATATACTAGCACATGTCAAGACTAGTCTTGACTGATATTCCAACAACAACTTACACATATATAGCATCTTTCACATAGTCAGAACATCTCAGAGTACTTTGCAAAAACTGAGAGTGGCCGAGCTAGGAGGGAAATAGGGGGGAGGTGGCTGAAGGTATAGTAAAAGATAAATATTTAGTTGGGATTTGAAAGCACAGAGGAAGGGTGTGAGGTTCAAGGATTTCGGAACAGACTTCCAAAGGTCAGGGGCAAAGTATATGAAAACTCACCATCGATGATGCAACAGAGTGGATGGCAGGGAGTGGGGGCATGAAGTAGCAAAAACAACATTTATATTATGCCTTTCACATCGTGAGGGCCTCCCAAGGTGCTAGACAGTTAACAGTTGGCACCTGAGTTGGAGGCTGGAATCAAGAGGGTGGAGGGCAAGGCAGGGGTGAAAGACGATCGAAGGCACGTTCAAAGAGGAAGGTCTTGAGACAGACATTGCAGGAGGCAAGGGAGGGGATAAGGCGAAGGGAATCCAGGATAGAGTTTCAGAGGGTGGGAGCAGAAAGGTTGAAAGCCTGACTGCTTCATAATCCGACCTACATTCTAACACCACATGCCCTTCAGTCTCTTTTGGATTGAGGAATAAGTAAAACCTAAGAACAAAGATTGGTTCAACGATGAACGAATCACAGAAAGCTGTTCACGCACATTATTAAATACTTTATTCATAATAATAATCCTGCATTTGATACAGTGCTGTCGAGATATTTCAAAGTCCTTCAAAGGATTTTACTGTAAAGTGTTTTGACTGCATTTTGTTGGCAAATTTATAATTTAATCTTGTAATATGGAAACAAAGTGAGAACATTATAGCTTCTTATAATTAAATTGTTATACAAAGATATTACATTAGATTAAAGTAAGGAATGACAGTGTATCTAATATAAACTCAAATAGCACAATGGCAGCACAAACTGATTTTGATAACTCACAACATTTTTAAAATCCCTCTTTCAACTTATCTGCTCGCGATCAAGATAACTTCACAAGGGACCAACCTCTTGCTTCATCTGCAGAAGCTGTTTCCTTGTGGCAGCTGCCATTCTGGCACAGGTACAGGGCTCTCCTCCAGGACTATTACAATGGCAGGCCCCCAGCACACCAAGCTGCAAGAAACCAACAAGAGCCATTCACTGTAGGTGTACACTGGGGCTTGGGATAGAATACTGGGTTCCCATACCTAAACTTTCAATCCTTGTCCTCACAGCCTGCAGGAGTCTGCAGAGATCTGAATTCTGAACACCCACCCACTCCCCCACGCTTGCTATTCCTCACAGCACTGTGAGACTGGGAACATGGTCAATGGAGTAAAATCACAGATATCTTAGACATGGAGTTGGATCATTAGCATGTTGGACCTCTGTGCTGCTGATTACAACTCTTGTGGCGTTTAACCAATTTTTGTTACACCCACAGTTAGCAAAGAATTTATTTACGTCAGGTTATATATAACTGGATGTTACTGTAGAATAAAATGATTTTAAAGGGTACTTAAAACCTGGGGGAGATAATGTCCAGTGAAGGGATTACCTCAAGGGTTGTAACTTCGGTGAAGCCATTCTTGCTTGTTGACAATAGTCCCCGGATCATCTGCTGATCTTTCACATCGAGCATTGCAAGTAGTTCTGAAGAGCTCTGAGTCAAAACTGAGAAAAGAAAGACGAGAGCATCTCAACGAACGCTTATATCAGAAGCGAGTCACAGCAACCGAAGAGAGGATACCTTAAATCAACATGTGAAGTTTCATAGAGGGATATATTGTGCTTGTGGAGCAAAACAGGTCAAGGTTTGAATAGTTAAGCTGTGATTATGATGAATATCTTCGAGTTAGTGCTGGATTACTCTGTTTAGAATTTCCTTCCAGAAGATAGCTGGAGTAGGGCAAATTCTACAACAGGGTAGGTTTTAGATAAATAAAAGTAGAAAAATAAGTGCATTTTTGTCATTTTAGTCACATTGTAGGGACCTCAATCCGAGGAGGCCTTGCTTACCTTACCCCCCCACCCACACCACCCCCATCTCCCCTGTGGATAGCAATAGTCTAGTCATACTAATCTCCTGCTCCCCAGATTCTGACAAACAACAAATTAGGACACTGATCCAAGCCAAAGGAGGGGATTAAAAATACACCTCTCAATTCTGGAACCTGGGTTTCAATCTTTTCCTTAATGTATAAATAATTGTTTCATTTGATTTAGTGCCTTATCATGTTGTTGAGAAGTCTCAAAGCATGTCATAGAATATACTGTAAAGTTTTGTGGCTATGAATTAGACATATTCTGTGTAAAATGTATTGACTCGGTGAAGTTGATGTGTTCAATCTCGAGGAGCTATCATGTGCTGCTTGTGAATCATTTTTATTGTGTACTTCTAAAGGTTTTGGGCAACATAATCTTTCATAAACAATTTAAAATGTAATTCACGTATGGAACTGTAATTTATATACAGGTTCCTATTCACATCCGATCAACTTTAAGATCCACATTTTAACTTTAAAATGCCTCCCCGCTATTTCCCACCGTATCTCTGATCTTCTACAACAACAACAAGATTACATTTGTACAGCGCCTTTCTCGTCGGGAGGATGTCCCAAGACGCTGGACAGTGTAACAGCATTTCAGACCCGAACTGGGGTCAGGGGGGGAGAAGGGAGGCGAGGGGAAGATGACCAATGGCATGGTCGAAGAGGAGGGTTCTGAGGCGGGACTTGCAGGAGGCTAAGGAGGGGGCGAGGCGGAGTGATTGGGGGATGGAGTTCCAGAGGTTGGGGACAGAGTGGCTGAAGGCTCTCCCGCCAATGGTGGGGCGGGAGGGTCAGGCGACGTGAAACAGGCCGGAGCTGGCTGAGCGGAGGGAGCGGGTGGGTTGGTAGGTCACAGAGGTGGGGCGAGGCCATTGAGGGCTTTGTAGGTGAAGACCAGGATTTTGAACTGGATCCTCTGAAGGATAGGGAGCCAATGGAATCGGGCGAGAATGGGGGAGATGGGGTCACGGAGTTTGGTGCGGGAGAGGACACGGGCTGCAGAGTTCTGGATTATCTGCAGCCTGTGGAGGGAGGAGTTGGGAAGGCCAACAAGCAGGGCATTTGTACAGTCGAGCCTGGAGGTGATGAAAGCATGAACAAGAGTTTCAGCGGCCTGAGGGGTGAGGTAGTGGTGGAGTCGGGTCATCTCCCTCCAACTCCCCCATTTCCCACACTGATTGGGCGTCCACTCACTCTTTGTGAAAGCACTTGAGATGGTTATCTCCATGAAAGGTGCTATGTAAAAGTGTTCGCTGAGAACTTACTAGCATTTTCTGATTTGAGATCCCGAATCTCTGCATCTCTTGCTTCCACAGTTGCTGCAAGTTCGGCATTTTCAATGCACAGTCTGTGAAGCAAAGCAACAAGAACATGATTGTACAATCTTTTACGTAAACATTTACATTTACTAGTATTAGTTTACTAGTTCAATGAATAGAAATGATAATTGAAGAAACGTGAATCCAAAGAAAATTAAGAGTCCATTAGTGACAATACAAATTTACACTTATATAGTGATAACGTATTAAAAAAAAGTGGATAAGATTTGTTGGCATTTAATATTCCTTCACTATTGCATTCCTCTCGATAGATGTTTATTTTACAAAATGTAAACGCTCACTTGTCCTCACAGGACAAGTAGCAGGAAGCTTATTGGTGCCTCATACTGGTAAATTGTAGAATTTTAGATAGCAGAGCCTTAGCACTGTGCCAACACACAATTGGGGTGCAAATTAATGCCTTACTTTCTACTGACCCGAATGTGTGCTTTTCAAGCATAGGCAAGCAGGTTTACTTCTTTAACCACCACCCCCACCCCTGAAGGAAACTGTATCCTCCACAATTGGCAAAGAAAGTAAGAGTTTAAATGTTTGAACTGAGATTAGCGACTGAATCCATGATCTGTAAATATTACTCCTCCCATGACTGAAAATGCAAAGAGCTGATAAACCAACCACTAACCACATGGTTAAAGTTCAATTACTTCCAATCAGGCATTATAATGATGTACACAAGTGATACACATGTCAACATAAAAAATGGACTAAAGCACATAGCAATCAAATCACTTATTGGAAACTAATAGAAAGGTATTTACCAGTAAAATCATTCCATTATCTTGTGGGTCTAACCCTGCTATGCCAAAATTGTTTTAGCCAGATAACAAGCAAAATCAACCGCTTTTTGTTAACTAATTTCATATCCGAGTCTAGTGAGTGATGGCAGGTGATTCAACCATGAAAGCATCATAGCCCTCATCTGAAATCCATGCCCTTTCTACTAGGAAATGATAGATAGCGATCAAGAGGACGGTCCCAGATTCATTGGTGAGGTCATCAGTAATAGGAAATTGTATTATTTATATTTTTAACTATTTATTGCACATTGGTTCAACTTTAAATGCTTTTTGGAGGGAAGCTACATTAAGCTGGCATTAAGTCTGGTTATCATTCTTATTCTGGGACTGAATAAATGTCTATTAGATCAACGTATTCATGACAGGAATATAAATAGCAGCACAACAGGACCACATGGATACAGTCAAATCCTGTATCTGTGTGAATCCACACAAACCATAGTACACCCAGCACTGGCTCAACAGTTTCCCACGCTAAACAATTGCTGATGATTGGCTCTATAGATCATTGCTGACATCACTTTCTACATACTTCGCACTCTAGACTACACAGGAAGCGGTAACGCTGCGCTTCTTGCACATGAGTGCAATATGCAGGAAGTGGCATCAGTATCAACTTGGTAACCAAGAAGTCAGCCATTTGTTCTCGGTTGCATATAATGCCACCACTGAGAGACTGGACCTAGAGGACCACATTATAATGAGTTTGCCTTCTATCAACACAACAGGGCCACACAGACACCAACCTGACAGGACTACACAGATACCAACCGGTCATATCTTTGCATGTAGGTTTGTTTGAAGTTCTTATGTTTATCCTGATTGAACTCTTTTTCCCACTGCAAAACATTTACTTCCTGTAAATAACAACAAACTGTTACTATCTGTTAGGTTATTCGGTGCTGCTCGAGAACATCCCTGGCAATCCTACAAGACTTACAAACGCCATTATACCCTCTTCAATAACACATCCTGGTGACAGGCATATGGTGAAATCCATGATCCAAGATGGGCTTAGCGATAGATACATTTGACAAAGTGTGACAGATAGTTTGGAATGGAAGGTAGTCTCCTGAAGGAGAGATTGCGCGAGAATGTACCTCCCCTAGGGGTGGGCCTTTGCTTACTTGTCCAAAGGATGATTCTTTATGTGTAGTCACCTAGTAGCAATAACAAATTATATTTATGTAGCACCTTTTACGTTGGAAGGACATCCCAAGGCACCCGACAGTTAAGGATTTGTAATTTATCTGGGGATTGGAATCAAGAGAGGTGGAGGGTAGGGGGGCGGGGGTGGGAGTGTGGCCAAAGGCACAGTCAAAGGGGAAGATCTTGAGATGGGCTTTGAAGGAGGCAAGGGAGGAGGCAAGGCGGGGGGGACTGTGGAATGGAGTTCCAGAGGGGAGGGCAGGAGAGCTAAAGGCCCGACTGCCAATGGTTGGGTGGGCATGTGGGGGACATAGAGTAGACCAGTCCCCACCGAACGGAGAGAACAGGAAAGTTGGTTTGGTGTTAAGAGGTCGCAGAGGTAGGGAGGAGCAAGGCCATGGAGGGCTTTAAAAATGAGGATGAGGATTTTAAACTAGAAGCAGCAGCAGGTTAGTCAATCATGGGGGCTAGTACAGCCAAGACCACAATGGACTAACTGATTGACAAACATCCACTTCTAGGAGAGGTCTCTGTATAGTCATCAGGAAAACATCAGGTTATTGCTTCCCCTGCATGGTTCAGTGCTGTTGGGGCCAAGTTATATTGCCTGCCCCACACCACTTATTGGCTGAGAATAGCTAACAGGAAAACCAGGAACAAAACCTCTGACTTTTCTGGTTTGTTTGGCTCTATGCCATGTCACAAGATGTATTTAACCCTCCGAAATAACCTAAAAATCAATAACAGTGTGTTGCTATTTTATAGGAAGTGAATGCTTTGTAGTGGGTTGGGAAGAAAGAGAAGAAGAAAGACGAGAGATTTCTGGAAAGAAAAGTTTATTTTAAAAAAAAGAAACCAAAAAGTACAAATTGTGACTGAACTAGAAACCTAGAAAAGACACCTAAAGAAACCAAGTCTAATATCTCTTATTCACCCACCAACTGGAGGTTTCCAGGGTTGGAATATACACAAGAGGGGTAAATAAAATAATAATCCTTACATTTGATACAGTGCCTTTCACATTGGCACAAAGTCTCAAAGTGTGTCAAGGATTTATTGTATAGTGAGTGTGCATTTTGTAGATGAAAGTAGGAGCCAATTTGTGCACCTCATTAGCCCACAAACAGCCATGGTGATTGACCAGTTTTATTTGGGGGATTGTTTGCCAGGGAGAAACTGCATTCTCCTTTCGAATAGTGCTTGGGGATCTTTAACATCCAACTGAGCAGGCATCAGTTCAATGTCTCATTTGAAGGATGACACTTCCAACCAACAATGCAGCACTCCCCTACAAAGCATTGCAGTGTCAACCTAGACTATAATCTCAATGTAAATTTGTTCGCAAACAAAAGTGTTGGCATGCCGGATGAATGAACTAAACAGTACCAGGATGTGCAGTAAGCAGGTCACACCAAGCAGTTTAGCCACAAAATAAGCACCAAAGATTTCTGATACAATCACCCAAGTATAGTACAAAGTTCAAACCTATGTACACACCATTTTGAAGTGCAATAGATTGCAGTTACACTTTTACGACCTATGGTAGTGAGAATGTTTGTGTACAGGATGTAGGGGAAAGATACTTCCACCAAAACCTTTTGACAACAGTATTTAATACATTCCAATTTTCAAAAGTGGAAAAAATTCTGAGGTTTACTTTAGAATTTCCCCAATGGCTAATGGGTAAACTCACACCTAGTTCAGCAATGAGACATTCGGTTTGCTAGATCACATGTCCGAATGCCATTCTGTGCTAGTTTCAGATAGAGCAAAAGGTGCAATGGTAGAATTGGCCTCAAACCCCATGGATTAAGAAGAGGAATTTCAGCCAGATATTTGCCTCTGATCACTATCCCTGCTGCAAGATGGGAGTCAATAGAAGAGAGGTTAGGGCTCAGCGGTGATGTTCCTCCTCTGCAGTCATTGGGCTGGCAACATTCACACATGAATAATAATAATAATCCTTGTATTTGATATAGCGCCTTATCACGTCATTGAGACGTCTCAAAGCGCTTGACAGAATATATTGTAAAGTGAATTAACTGTGTATTTTGTGCATGAAACGTAGCAGCCAATTGTGCACAGCAGTGTCCCACAATCAGTTGTGGATTGAGTGACGCAATTTACCGACCGAATAATGTCCATGTGAGGTACAGAAGGAGATTGGCACCTAATGAACTGGGTCTGGACAAACAGAAAAGGAGTTAAAAGCCTTTGAAGGAGAAATATTGGCAATCAAAAATAAAGGCTTAATCTGCTATAAGGCGGAACTGTTGTAAATAAACAATTTCCTTACATAAACTAGAAGAATGACAATAAAATGGATTTCAGGTGCGGTGTATGTATTTGCACACAAAGCAGTACCTACCTTTTCTAAAATCTTGTTACGTTCCTCTGTTTTCTGTAGGAGGGTCTTTGTGTGAGGGATGGCTTTATCAAGCACAGCCTGTGAAATGGAAACAACATATCAGGATGTGCAGAATGCTCAGCATTCAATTCACCAGTAGGCAGAGTTCAGTTTACATAATTATCATCTACAGCCTGGTCAACAGAGGTGAAACATCAGTATATACACAGCAAGCAGCATACAATAATCATAGATTTACATAGATGGTACAGCATTGAAACAGGCCGTTCAGCCCAACCAGTCCATGTCAATGTTTATTCTCCATGAGTCTCTATTCACTCCTTACTGCTCCCGACTCCCTCTATTCGTTTTGCCCACAAAATATACAGTCAATTCACTTTACATATATTCTGTGAAGCGCTTTGAGATATCTCAACAACTTGATAAATCGATATATCAAATGCAAGGATTATTACAATTATATATTTAGCTTCCTCTTGAAGGCATTTATACTATTATCTATATACGTTTTAAAGAAAAGTAACTGAAGAATAAAAATGGCCAAATGTGACAAACAAAACAAAAGCTATCGTGAAGTAATCAGGTGAACCTACACTGTAGCCTTCAGGCCTTCAGAGATGAGTACAAATCCACAGCCCCTTACACTACAATACATTTTATAATTTTTCTTACAATAAAATTATAACATCATACATTTTAAAATAATAGGGAGCGAGAGTACAGTGAGTTAAAAAAACATTGTTCTTAGTTCTGGAATCAAATTTTAATTCTGTGTAGACTGATGGGATTAAGACACCCCCGATTCCTGTCTCCCTCCCCCACTAATTTGATGAGTGACAATACAACAGTTTGAATACTCAATCCAGTTTCAATAGCCGTAATTCTAAAGCATTAAACATTTCATAATACCTTCCTCTATTGGCTCAGTGGGTAAGAGGGCTGGACAAAGACTAGGAATGTCCCAGGTAAGTAAGATCTTTGGCGTGTGCTAAATCACCTGATCGCAGACAGTGGGTTGTGTGTGAGACTTACAAACATAATTAGTGAAAAGTCTCCTGGTGCGTAGATACTATGCCTGCAGCTCACCATTTGGTCAATAGATTGCAGAAGATGTGGCTCAGTGTGGAAAGTGTAAAATAATTAGTGAAGTTGAAAATGCGCTCACAGGAGAACAATAGAAATAACTGCTCAAATCCCTCGGAAAAAGTACCTTGGCACAAAAGGACGACCCCTGCAGGTCATAATAATAATAATAATAATCCTTGCATTTGATATAGCGCTTTTCACGTCAAGAGGACGTCCCAAAGCGCTTCACAGGCACACTAAAGTGAATTGACTGTATATTTGTGGGCGAACGCGGCAGCCAATTGCGCACAGCAATGTCCCACAAACAGTCGTAGATTGAAAATGACCAATTATTATTGTTTTGTTTTGGAGGGATTATTATTAGGCTCTGTGTGGAGTAAGGAAACTTGCCCAAGGTTTCGCCCTGACCTGCCTGGAATTGAACTCAGGTCTCTCGCTTGCAAAGCGAGTGCTCTAACCTGTGCTCTAACTGAGCTACAGGACTCCATCATCCGATGTCTATCACACTGACTAATAGTAACTCAGCTCCAACCATAGACCACCCATAAAATTATAATCTAGAAATACTCTTCAATGCAATATGAAATAATAAAGCTGATTTCAACCGGCACATTTTATACTTTTGTTAATGCAAATAATTGTCATTTATTTTATGGGAAAAATATTTTAAAGTGACTGTATTATATTAGGCTCCACTGTGCTGAATTATTAATAATACATGCTCTCGCAGTCCCTGCATGGAGCCTTGCCAACAACTTCCTCCTCCTCCATCCCAACCACATCCACATGTACATTTTATTATCACCATAAATGGTGGCGACATGGCCTTCGGGTTTACTGTTGAAGCTAGTTAGTATGATTTTACTTTGCCACTTTCTGGTTCAACCATTCAATCACTGCACAGTCTTCACTTGAAATGTTCTCTTTTAACTTTGTTCTAGTTAAGCACCATAAAGCCAGCTATTAAGCACTTTAGGGGGCTGACTACAAATGCAGCGATTACACTTTACAGTAAAATGAGGTGAATCGCTTTGAGGCGTCTTGACGACGTAATAAAGCGCTATATCAAATGCAAGGATTACTATTATTTATTACTGCTTGTAAAATCTTAAACCCATTCACTTTGCTTCACAGCTAGAGCATAACATTCCCCGCACAACCAAATACTGTATTAACCTAAAGAACTAATATGAGTGAAGACGTACTTAATACCAATTTATTATCTTGGGCTCCAGGTACTAACAATCCTATCTAAGATCCCCCACTGAAATAATTGACTGACCAGTGGAGCCCCACTGACTAAATCAGAGACTCAAAGTAGACCAGTTAGTGAAACAGCAAACTCACCATGCTCTGCAGTATTTTCAATGCTTCATATTTCCCCTCAAGCTGCTTTTGTGTTACTTCGAGCTCACTTCGTAAAATCTCTGCATCCTGAGTATTAAAAAACTCAGTAGTCATAATTCAATAGTAATTGAAAAAAAACATTAAAAGCAGAGCTGGGTTAGAGTGAGGTTCTTTACCATTAATCTATGTTTCATTACAAAAAATGACTATCCTTTAAATAGATGCAAAAGTAAAGTACAGATTATCTTTTAGAGCAAAAAAGATTTTTTTACATTAAAGAATAAAAAATAAATTAAAAATAGAATTACCTCAGTGACTTCCTGAAGCCTTTGTTTCAGCTCTTCATTTGTCATTTCAACATTCAATGCTGCAGAGATAAGTTAGGTTTCAGAAAAGTACTAATCTTCATTTGTTTGTTAGAACCCAGTTGTTAGTCAATTGGCAGATTGCTAACCGGGGTGTACAAAAAAAATTGTGTCACTCAATCTACGACTGTTTCTGGGCCACTGTTGTGCACAATCAGCTGCCACATTTCGCCCATAAAATGTACGATCAATTCACTTTACAATTTATTCTGTGAAGCGCTTTGAGATGTCTTGATGACGTGATTAAGCGCTACATCAAATGCAAGGATTATTATTATTATTGTTAAAAGCAAAAAAGACATATTCTCGATTTTGCCTTAATACATAATTACTGTATCTAGTGATGCCAACATAGAGAACATTTTTATTTCTTCAAAAAACAATTTGTTTTATCCTCCTAGAAATTCTTTTCACAGTTTCTTTTTTCAGTAAAACAATAACAAAATTACATTTGTATAGCGCCTTTCACATCAGGCAAATGATAAGATCATCTAGTAGAACATTGACATGAAGACTTACACTGTATATATTTTAAAAATTGAAAAGGTGTAATACATTCCTGATCCAAGCAGAGGATTCAATATATTATAGCACTAATACTCACTTGCACGATCACAGGAAGGATTTGGATGAAGAAGGCGCTTTGGTTCATTCAATCGCAATCTTTCAGAATACCGTCCCTTCTCTCTTCCTATCATACCACCAAATTTAGAGTTCTACCCTCAGTCAGCCTTCCAAATAACTCATTCCAGATGTTACTGGAGTTACTGGACTCATACATTGAGTTTTGTATTAATTATTGATGAGTTTATCCAGATACAAGCACTTTATCATGTTAGGGTTTGATATTTATTAGGCACATTGGCACAGATATAGTATTAAAAAATATGGAGGAGATCAGGCTTCACATATCTTGTTCCACATGCATCTATTTATTTCACTGTTAATCACATTCACTGCTTTCCTCCGACTTCAGTTACTGCTGAAAATACAGCACTACAACTTACTATAATAATAATAATCCTTGCATTTGATATAGCGCTTTTCACGTCTTCTAGATGTCTCAAAATGCTTCACAGAATATACTGTAAAGTGAATTGAATGTATATTCTGTCGGTGAAATGCGGTAGCCAATTGGGTACAGCAGTGTCCCACAAACAGCCGTGGATTGAAGTGACCAATCTTTATTTTTTTGTTTTTAAGGGATTATTATCAGGCACGTAGAGTAAGGAAACTTGCCCAAGGTTTCACCCTGCCGGGAATCGAACCCAGGTCTCTCGCTTGCAAAGCGAGTGCTCTAACCATACCTTAGCACATACATCCTCCTGTAGATCGATGTGCTCTAGTTCATCTTTAACCCTTTCTGATTTTCTCTTTGTTACATTCTAAGTATGAATCCATTCATCTCTTCAGATTCTCTTCACCTCTTTTCTTGCCAATTGTCTCCCTTCTTCCTCCTCGACCTCTTCCTTTTCTTCTTGCCGAGTACTGCCAAGCTATAGTTCCTCCAGCACCCTCTGCTTCACCTGAGCCAAGTGCATGTTTATGTGTGACCCTGGATCCTAAAGTGTTGCCAGTTTATTCATTACAGAGAAGCTTGATCCTGTAAATACTTTACGTAACATCAAGCGAGGCAATTCTGGCTGATTTCATTCACCCCCTCCTTAGTCCAGGGGCGCTCTGAGATCAACTGTAGCAAACCAATTATTTTATCAACTCAGATCAGCTCACTCAGCGAACGCCAGAGATTCAATCTGCATCTTTCTGGTCTGTATGACTTAATACAATACACCTAGCGATACATTTACCTACCAGGCCATCAGAGGGAGTACAATAACTCTAACAAATTCTCCTTACAACTGATAAAACCGCTCCAAAAGATATGTAGAACAATTTCACTGATGGTAAAGAAACAGAAACAACTCCCAACAGCTGATCAAGTGATTTTGGCTAAAACAGAACGTGACTGACTGCAGTAAAATTGATATGAGGAATTATAAAATTCTCAGCTTCTCCTATAGTTCATTCAGCAACATATATTGAGAACTGCTACAAATTTACAAGTTTCCTAACTTAGGAAATCTAAACGTATTTGCTTGCACAAGCTTTATAGCTATTTATTGTGGGACAGATGATATCAAAGCAAAAGCTTAGTGAAGTTTACCAGCGCTGCTGCGTCGCTTGTGGGCATACATTGCATCAGCGGAGGTCAGTTTGTGCATTGAATGAGGGAAACTGTTGTATTTGGTCCAACGGAAACATGGTATGTTTTCGTTTTCTTCACCCTCTTTAGCATCTCTACCCGGGCCACAGTCAGTGGCATCTGATCCTTGTCGAGATCTTGTGCTCTCCACATTTAAATCTGTTTTTTGCTCATAGATGCCGCCAGGTTTCCTGCGAAGGCCATCGCCCAAGTCTCCACTCGACATGTCATCTTCCACCTTTTGCCTCGGTGTTCCAGGTCCTTCAGACATTCGTGGCTTCACTTGGATTTAGTTGCTTATTTACCTGCATGAGATGAAAAGTACCAAAATGAAACAGCGAACCTTTATTTTGAAAGAAAAATGTATCAAATTAATTTGTTCTGAACAATTCGCCTTCAGAGATTTGAAAGAAATAAACTTGAGCTTCAAAGGTGGCCCTGATAAGCACAGCTCAGTGAAGCACTAAGACATACAGATAGGTTTGAGTGCCAATCTTCAGATGAGATGTTAAACTGAAGTCCCATCTGCCTGTACAGATGGACATTAAAGTTCTATTTGAAAAGAGAAAGGGATTTCGCCCGGTGTCCTGACCAACAATCTCCCAACTAAAATTGATCACGCACTCCATGACCGTTTGTGGGACACTGCTGTGCATATCTGACTGCTGTGCTTTGTCCACAAAATACACAGTCAATCCACTTTACAGTTTATCCTGTGAAGCACTTTGAGACGACTCAACAACAACAACAAGATTTCATTTATAGAGCGCCTTTCACGTCAGGAGGACGTCCCAAGGCACTGGACAGTTGGGTCAAGACCCAAGCAGGGGGGAACTGGTCAGGGTGAGGGGAGGGAAGGGGCGAGGAGGGGTAGAGAGTCGAGAGGGGAGCTGAAGGCACAGTCAAAGAGTAAGGTCTTGAGACCGGCCTTGAAGGAGGAAAGGGAGGAGCAAGGCGAAGGCACTGGGGATGGAGTTCCAGAGCCTCGGGGCTGAGAGGCTGAAGGCCCGGCCACCGATGGTAGGACGGTTAGGGCGGGGGATGTGGAGCAGACCGGAGACAGAAGAACGGAGAGTACGGGCGGGTAGGTAGGGGGATAGTAGGTCGGAGAGGTAGGAGGGAGCAAGGCCGTGAATGGCCTTGTAGGTGAGGATGAGGATCTTGAATTCAACTCAACAATGTGATAAGGCACTATAGCAAGGATTATTATTATTATTTTAGTAAGATAATCTCATTTTAGGCAGTGGCTTGGCAGTATTTCAATAGACCTGATGATACACTAAAACACCAAAGGTACAATAGGGATATTTTTTCCACCTTGTTCTCAAATTGTCAACAGGCTAAAGTGTGGAGAAAATATTTATTTTTGTTTTCACCCCTTTTTAGTTGAATATTTAGCTTACAAAATACAGTCACTACATTTTACAGTATATCCTGTGAAGCCTCAAGACGTGAAACACACTATATGAAAGGCAATGATTACTATTATAGTTTTATTTTTAGGGGTAGTTCCTCTCAATCCCTAATGCAATCAGATGTATCTTGTATTGTGGCATTTTACACTGCCTGTGAGCAAAACAGTCAATGCCAAGTCACTGAGTCAGACTGAGACACATAGTATCACTATTGTAGCAGGAATTTATTTTTAGATTTGGCCTAAGAGAACTCCATACATTTACTCCATACAACTCCACACAGGGTTGAGCCAAGATTGAGTTGATAGACAGTCCTCTGGATGGATGGAATTTCAATGCAGAATTCAATGAAATTCAATGGTTAGTTTAGATACTCTTAAGCATGGTGATAGGTTGCCGCATGTATCTGACACTCAGCTGACCAAAAAATAATCAATGCGGAAACTGGGGTGACTGAGAGAGAGCAGGAGCTGGTACTCAGTTTGGGTTAAAATGTCTGAAAATCATACTCGAGCCATGAATTCTGAAACTGTGGCAGGAGAGCTTCCTCAATAGAGTTGTGGATGACAGCAATACAACAATAAAGACACAAGCAGATCAGAAGGTTAGTCTATGCTGAATTAGCTGATCTAAGCTTGGGCAGCTGTTGGGGCATCCCCAACCGGCCTTAGAGAGGGCAAAATCAACCAGCAGACCCACTCCAAACTTTGATCCAGTGATTCACTGGAGGGCAACCGGCAATTGTGGGACTACACACCAGTAAAACACTCAGCACCTTCAGGAGAGGAAAAAGTAAAATTGGCAAGTCAATGAGCAAAAGCCACGTGCAACCAGAAACAGAGGCTGACACTATCTCCAGAGGCAATGTTTATGTTGTAGTGAGGGTGGGGGGGATGAGTCAAATAGTAGAGGATCACTTACCACAGGTAAGAGAAACAGCAGTGGACATTGCTCAATACACAGAATCTAATTCTCTCCAAGTATTTTATTTTTTCACCCACAATGTACACAACAAATCCACTTTACGCTATATCTTGTGAAGGATTATTACTGAAGATGGAAGTGGATTAACTTTTTCTCTGAAAAACACTAACTCTTAGGGGTGTTTAGTTCTGTGAGCACCAATGGTTCACCCAAAGTATATGTAGATCAGGTAACAGCACAGATCAGGTACTGAACGAGTGAGGAAGAGAAAACAGGTTAAAAAAAGTGTATCAGCAAAAGGTTTAGCCTCTCCTAAATGTAGGTGGATTTAATTTCCGTCGAACGACTGCAGGGGCACATAGAATCTTACAGCACAGAAGGAGGCCATTCGGCCCATCGTGCCTGTGCTGGGTGGTTGAAAGAGCTCTCCAAGTAGTCCCAGTCCCCCGCTCTCTCCCCATAGGCCTGCACGTTTTTCCTTTTCAAGTACATATCCAATTCCCTTTTCGCAACTTATTATTTTACCGCTGTAATATAATAAAGCCCAGACACGGGTGCCCTGGCACTATTTGCCCCTGGTGATGGTCTGGGTTTTCCCTGTGTTGAGGGAAGAGGAGTGGATCAGGGGGAGTGGAGTGACCTTGGGAGTCACATCCTGAAACAGAAGAGATCAGAGCTCCTGGTGACCACCTCTATCCCAGACCAGTCACACACAGCAGGAACACGCACCACCTGGTGGTCCCATCAAAGAATATAATAGACACAGATTTCTTACAGGCAATAAGAGGTTTAGGAAATGTCGCAGAAGTGCTGCCTCTCCCCTCCCCCACCACCCCAACCCCACCAACCCCATCACCACCCCCACCAACCCCACCCCCACCAACCCCACCCCCACCAACCTCAACCCACCAACCCCAACCCCACCACACAACCCCACCACCACCCCACCACCACCCCCACCAACCCCCACCCCCCCCCACCAACCCACCCCCACCAACCCCAAACCCCCCCCCACCACCACCCCCACCAACCCCAACCCCCCCCCACAACCCCACCACACCAACTCCCCCCCCACCACCAACCCACCACCACCCCCCACCACCCCCACCAACCCCAACCCTCCCCCCCCCACCACCACCACCCCCACCAACCCCACTCCCCCACCCACACCACCACCAACCCCCCCCACACAACCCCACCACCACCCCCAACCCACCACCCCCCACAACCCACCCCTCCCCCCACACAACTCCACCACCACCCCCACCAACTCCAACCACCACCCCCACTCAACCCCACCACCACCCACCACACCACCACCCCCACCCCCACTACCCCAGCACCCCCAGCACCCCCCAACCCCACCCCACCAACCCCACCCCTCCCCCCACAACCCCACCCCACCACCACCAACCCCACCCCCACCAAACCCCACCAGCACCAACCCTCCCCACCACCAACCCCACCAACCACCCCCACCAGCACCCCACCAACCCCAAACCCTCCCCCCACCACCACCCACCAACCAACTCCCTCCCCACCCCCACCCCACCAACCCCAACCCCTCCCCAACACCCCCACCACCACCCCACCAACCCCACCACCACCCCACTAACCCAACCCTCCCACCACCAGCTCCA